CGTGGAGTGCACGGGTGCCTCATGTGCTGATGTGGAACATATTCAATTTAGTGACCATTTGACTGAGAGATTGAGGCTGAGATTCTAGTGGTGGAGCTTGCCGACGTGGGGCCGGGATTCAGCTGGGCTGAGCCATGCTCCCGTGGTTGCATGCAGCTGTTGATGAAGTATGGAGTGCGGCAGGTACCTTGACAAAGATGAAAAAAGATCACCTGACATATCTGACATCAAGGACTAAGCCACAACTTTAATGGCAGGCAAAGACAACCAGAAACAAATCACCGATCATGATGGAACTATGACCGCCATGGCCATGAAACCGCGAATCATGAAGCATTGAAGCCTAGGGTTCCTGGACCGATGGCCGTGGTGGCCTGGTGACGCGACCCTTTCGTTGGAGACCTGGAGCTGTTTTTGCTGCAACAGGGGATTCTTTGATGCTCGGTGGTCGAGGACATGAACCTGAGTTGGATGTTCCTGCCTGTACCTTTGAAGGAACCTCCAGGCTTGATTGCATGGACCTTCCACCAGTGCTGCTGCAAATAAAACTGCGAATCTGAACAGATGCTCTGAACAGATCCTGTGGATCTTTGACAGGCTTTCCTGTGATGCAATCTCAGAAAGAGCATGTGAGACTCTTAGCGCGGTCAGCTGCTGTTTGTGGTCCAATTTTTGTCATGGTGATTTGAGGGCGCTCGAGATAAGCTATGAATGGATTCGCAGATGTCGCAGCCACCTTTTGCTCAGACCTTTTTCTGTAGACCCCAGTGCGTAGATTGAAGCTGCTTGCCATGCCTTTTGAGTCGGTAAATGAACAGTGCCTTGGGCAAGATGATGTGGGGTTGGAGCTGTGCAAGAAGTTCGTGCAGATTGCTTTCTTTGTAGACATTTTCAGCAGTTTGGCTGAGCAGAAGGATTGGCAAAACTACCTTGCCCATGAGAGACCATGCAAAGACAAGCATCCAGGGTGGTGCTTTCAAATTGGGTGAAAAAGTCGTAAGTTTGTCCAACATGACAGGTACGTGAGGCAGCGGAAAGTCTTGGTTTGTGAACGTTGTCGTCGGCCGATGCTTGACTTTTATTTAGAGTGTGGTCCAGGGCTGTCAAAAGAGTTGCTTAGATCAGCTTAGATCATGTTGAGCTTCGTGGCGCATTGTGACATGCCGCAGGGTGTCTTGAGGCTTCTTTCTTTCCAAGAGTGACTGGCTATTCAGGATGGACAGCGCCGTCCAAAATCGACAAGCTTACCAGACTGGAGGCAGCATTGCTGGCTCTCTAGGCGGATCCGTAGGCTGGGCGCGTGCTGAGTTTGCAGAGCGGATTGGTGCAGGCATTAATGTGCAGATATATTAGGCAATTTTTTCGGAAACTCTGCAGCAGTTTTTCGATGTTTTTCTGCTTTGGGATCCGAGGGCATGCGTGCTGGCCAGGCGGTTCCATGCTAGCTGGAGCGGTGCTTGGCCCTGTAGGAGCTCTGGCTGGTGCCGTTGGTGGTGCCCTTGCTGGTTCACGGGCTGGTGCAGCAGCCAGTGAAGGCGCGGGTGTTGGTGGATTATGGGACTGACCAAGTGCTGAATCGTGGTGCTGACCACTGGTAGCCAAGATTAGCATCAACACTTACCTTCCCTTGTAGCAATACAGCCAATGAACCAAGGCATATGCGACGTGACTGGCTCAGAGATTGACAGTTGCAGGCAACACTCATTGGACCAGTCATCATCGTTTGTAGGCTTCAATCATCGAAATCAACCGAGGCAGTGGATTCGACAGGCAGCCAGATCTGCAACTCTTGCAAGGTGCCATCATGTGAAGTGTTCCCACCTTTCATTTATGATTTGCTTTAATTCGCAGACCAATGCAGGAAGCTGCCACTACTCGTCAAGCTGGCTACCAGAATTGGGGTGGAGGCAGACTTGGTGCAGGAGAGGCATCTGATCCTGTTGCAGCACAGGTGCTGGGCTGAAAGCTGAAGCATCAGTTAGACTTGATTACTTCAGCACCCACAGCTGACGGCACCATTTGGCAAGATTCAGCTTGGTCGAGTAATCCTGAAGTCTTTTGAAGCTGGTGGGTGCAGGTGCCTGTTGCCCCAAGTGCTCCGAGTGCGCCAAGTCTGGGGGATCGGATCAGTGAGACAGCCTCATCTGCTGGGAAAACCCTTGGAGAGGCTGGGCAACGGCCTGACAGCGAAACTGTTAGCATTGCAATGCATTGCAGACATTTGTAGACTAGAAGTTGAATTGAAGTTGAGCTTGATCTGTTAGCATGCTTGAGCCTCTCAAACTGCTGCTGCAATGCTGATGAACTGCTTTTTGCTCCTGTCATGGACTGCGGATTTTCTACAGCCAAGCTGCACTCGAAATGCTGCGTTCCCGCTGTGAGGCCGCCTCCTCCGTGGGAGACACCCTCAGTGGCGGTTTCAATTGGATGAGGCCCAGCAGCCTAGTGATTGATTCAGCCCTATTTCTTAGTGCTTGGCCGTAGCCTTGCAGCCTTGTCAGGAAATCTGTCTCATCCATGACTGGAGAGGACGCAGAGGAAAACCCTGCGCCTTCCAAAAAAGAGGCGGGGTTTGTGCCATTTATATAGAGCAAGCGAGCAACGCTGGCTCAGTTCGTATTCAGTTGGATGTGAGGCCTTCAAGCCTTTTGAGGGAGCTGGACAGCCACTGGTAGCTGAGCCAGTGGACCGCAGTGCGGCCCGTGCAGCCGCTGCTGAGGCAGCCATGCGACGTGCAGGGCAGGCGGGCACAGATTAGCGGTCTTTCCGGAAAAGTGACACAGTGCCCGTCTTTCGGATTCTTTTGGTGTACTGTATTCCAGCCCACTGAGAGGTCAATTACGTCCATTGCAATGGTGCTTGGGCCAGGCACCGTCCGCAGCAAGCGTTCCGGCTGCCCATCCCGCTCCTGCAACTTCGGAGGCGAGTCTTCTTGGGCATGTTGTCAGAGGGTAAGAAGATTTTCAGAAGATATCTGATTCTGTAAGAGTTTGAAGTTGAGAATAGTGTCGTGAAATTTGGTTTCGAGCTTTGTTGAGGCCCAGCTTGCAGATGATGAGGCCCTGGCCAGAAGACTGCAAGAGCAGTACCTCGGTTGTGAGTTGGCATAGTGGACAAAAGTGGCATACAGGATCACACAGGACCGCACAGGCAAGGAAACTAAACTAACTTGCTGTGGCCAAAGTCCTTTGGTGGACACTACGTTTTTGACCTGACAAAGACACGCTCAAGGGCTGAGAGGAAGAACAATAGAGGGATCTCGATCATTTGAAAGGTCTTGACCAGGGGGAAAGTGAAACAAGACTCGCAGGACTCGCATGACTAGCATGACTAAGGTTCGATGCGGAAGATGCACAGAGATAATGCGAGCTGATCTTGCCTCAACCTGCAGCACTCAGATGGCCAGAAGCGCTGTCAGCGTCGAAGCTGAAGCTTGTGGCAAAACACGGCAGAACTCTATCTGCATGGCCGGAAGGCATCTCTTGGAGGCTGTGTACATACAATGCTTTTCCTTTGGATACCGGATACCATCTGATTTTGCAAAGCCATTTGTTGCAATGCATGCAAGCAGTGCTGGTTGCAAGTGCATTCAGCTGTGATATGCAGTCCGAACCAACCAGATTCTTCCAGTGACACAGCTGTTGTGATTGAACAATGAGGCTTGGACATTGCTGAAAAGCTGCGGCAAGAGAAGGAAGGTGGTGCCTTCAGAGGGTACGTCCTGGCGAGGGATGCAAATTGAAGGATGTTGCAGGTAGTGTACAAATGTTACCAGCCGATGGTCCCAAAATGTCCCAAAAATATTTGGAAAATAACATGAGGAGAGCCATGAAGCTGCCAAGGTCTACCCGCTTGGGGGATGGAAGAGCTTGCAGAGGAGGCCTTGCGGAGATCTCGTCAGATGTGCATTGTGTGCGCATCGTGCACGAGGGAAATATTTGACATGCCTCGCAGGGTGTGGAAGCAGTTGCCGAAGCCAGAAGGCTGACGACGGAAAGTGATATCGCATGTATTGCCAGCATTCACGGTATCCCCATGAATTATAGATATGTTTTTGATAGCTTTTGCCTTTTCGAAGCGACATTTTCTTTGTGTTTTGTTTTTGAGAGAGACACAAAGCACAAACCGTCCTTCTGTTTGCAACGGAAGGCGGCGGCCTTTGTCTCTTCGTGGGCAAGTCTTCCCACTGCCACCTCGAAAGAGAAGCACCAAGTATGCAGATGCGCTGCGGATGGAAAAGTCCTGAACATGCATCCTGAACATCCATCACAATTAATCACAATGCTGGAGTCAGAGCGGATCAGTTTGGAATCGTGGAGGTCCACTGCGATCCTCTGAAATGAGGAGAGATTGTGTCAGAATGCTATTTTTGTGATGTTGTTCTGCTTTGGTCTAAGCGTTGATGGTCCAACTAGGCCACTAGGACGAGAGGAGAAGAAAACACCATGAAAAACAAGTCCTCATTGAAAGCTCAGTTCTGAGATGTGCTCCAATGCTAAGTCATATCAGGTATTGCTAAGGACCAGTCACAGAAGTACACACGTAGACACCATTATCTGGCAATGAAAGCTTACCCAGCTTCCAGTGCGGGCGTAACCCACACACCCCGACACCCCCGAACAATGCGTCCTGTTTGAAGACTGTAAATCGTGTTTCTCTGTTGATCTTCGGTCAATTCTGAATAAATAACGGAGGAAGAAACAATGTTCAATCGATAAAGTATGATAGTTGTGGCTTGACATGAGAATATTCACGTCGCTTCGCGACGGCAACCGCCCGCACCGCATCGTTGGGCTCACACAGCAGAGATATATCTATATATATATATAAAGATCATATATGTACATATCGAGTGAACGGTCCACACTGTTAATGATGTCAGCCATTGTTCTCTTCTACTGCCATTGTTCTCTTCTATTGCCGTCGCTCCGCGACAAGAACCCCTGTGCGGCCGCCACGGTTTGAACGATGTTGTTCTCACACCTTCGCGACCGCTCGTAACTGCCAATGATGTCGGCCATTGAGACCAAAAACATCCGAAAGTACTGATTGTCGGAAAAAAAACGCGAAGAATTTGATAGCCATGTATAGCGGACCAACGCAGTTCAAAAAATAGCGAAAAACATGAAAAAACGGCGAAATTGCTGTTATTTACAGTGTTTTTGCGCGGTGAGAAGCAGAAACCACTGCAAATACCATGGTTTTTGAGGGTCAGGTGGCCAAAAACACTGTAATTTACAGTGTTTTTTTAACCAACGTCAAAAAACACTGGTATTTACGATGTTTTCATTCACACCGTAACATAAAACAGCGTAATTTACGAGGTTTTTGGAAGTTTTGAAGCTAGCCGTCAAGCATGCAGAAAACAGAAAAACACTGTAAAAACCAAGTGTTTCTGCTATCACAAAACGACGAAAATCAGTCCGAAAACGGGTCCAAAAACTCAAAAATCCGCCTCCGGGCCAGGCCACCTGCGGAACCGCAAAAAAAGATGTTGCAAACCAAAAAATTGAGGTCAAAAAGTTGAAAAACACGGGTTTTTTTCACTTTTCGCTTGCCGATTTTGGACGGGCGCGTTCACGAACAGGTGTCTTCCGTACTGTTTTTTACAGTGTTTTTTGAAGGCGAGCGTCACGACCTATCAAAAACAGGAGGTTTTGGCCGAATAATGGGCCCCCCCCCAGGTAAACCTGTAACCTTTTACGAGTGCCATCCGGACGATCAAGCCCCAGCACCTTCGGTGCGGGCGGATTTGACCAGGCCGGTCTGTATTACAGCAGTCACCTTGGCCACAGCTGCATGAATGCGACACGAGTTCGACACCTGGAGAAACTTGGCCATGCAAAAACATGCGAACAAGTGCAGGCAAAAGCAGGAGCTGAGAATTTTGGTTTTAAAAGTCATAATGTGGATATTGTCGATATTCATGCTCATGTTACTTCTCTATCTTTAGGAATGCGCTCAACCTTTTCGAGAAGACCCGGAAGTGTGGCTCTCAGCCCTTGGACCTGGAGAGGTTGCAATGGCAATGCAGATGTTACACTCAATCCATGCTCACTGGAAGAGAAACATATGACATGCTAAGGACGGAGGCACCATGCCTTCCAATTGACTTATTCTTGCGGCGGTATTTTCAGGCTTGCTGAATCTGCTGAATAACAAAAAGTTATTCCCACTCCCATCACTCCCATTGCAGTGCCCAGCTTGGCTCGTCCAGGGGCACAAGTTCTTGGACGGAAAGGATCGTGCGTGGGCCGAGCTCGTCTTTGGAATCTCATCGTGGCATCGTGGGGTGGTGTTTGAGTCAAATTGCACACGTTTGTTAAACCTTTTGTTGCTGGTTTGCTTGGCAGGTGGATAGCAGACAAGACCTATGAGTTGTACAGGCGCAGCCTTTCACGTGTTTCGTTGTTTTGATGCAGGCTGCACCTCACCATTGGATCAAGGTGGCGCGGCCTGATCGATCATTTGACGCCCAAGCCGCACAATTGGGTGGAAGTCTCGGATTGGCCTGTAACTTCAGATACTTCAGCTCTTGTGTTGGGCGGCCCAAGTGTGACCGGACTGCTTCTCAAGCATAGCCCAAAGCCCACAGGTGGACACTTACTTTGTCAATCTTTGTCATATTTTGTCTATGGGCAGAGTCTTGTCTAATTGCCAGCATGAGATCAAGAATGAACAGACACACACACAGACAAACAAACACTAATGACATCTAATGACTAATGACCATCACTCCGATAAGTCAAAAAGTAAAGTCCCAGACTCCTTGCCAGATACACCAGTCTATACATATATTATTTTGCACAGACACTGCTGCGCATCAATTTGCCATCAACACTATCAAGGCCTGGATCTTAGATTCGCCACTGTAGTATTGCCAGACCATTCGTCCTTTGCAAGACTTCGTGTGGCCTTTTGATGCCGCCGCCTGCCTTTAATGCAGCCCTGGTTACACCGGATGCGGTGTTAGAAGCTTATAAGCGCTTGCAACCTGTCTGAATTTGTTTGCCATTCTGGAGTCCGAGACGGTTCAAATGAATCTACGAAACCGCTTGAACACTACTTCTTCATTGATGGGCCGAGTCAGTTCCTCCCGAGCTTTTGTAGTGGGTTGAACTCATTGCCAGCGCAGCGGTTGATAAGGCAGCCCCACGTGCACCGGACGTTGCTTGGCTTTAGCGACAAAACGCCGTGCTTGTTCTTGTTCCTTTTTGGGTATATAAATTGACTGAAGTGCCTTTTCTTGAAAGTGGTTTGAACTATGAGTTACACTCCGACTCCAACCCTTTTTATCTTTTTGGGGGTATTTGATCCTAGCCGACCATATGGGTACCCATAGTCTTTTTTCTCCCTCCATGTATGCAAGTCAAAGGCCACACAATAAATTGCAAGATCGAATTTGAATTTCGGTGTGGACTCGGTGTTGATATTGTGAAAGGAATGTGGAACAAGTGAGTGAAACTCTGTCCGCATATTTGTAGCCTGGGCCCTGAGGAGAGTGTTCACATGTGACCAGCTGGATCAGCGAGCCTCACATGGAAGTGCTCGCAAGCTTTTTCTCAAGGTGCAGCAGTCTACTTGCGTGTGGTTGTTGGCCACCCCTTCTCCTGACTATCTTGTTCCAAGAGAAACAGCAAGCGTATACTAAACACATCCATCGTGAAAGAGATGCTGAAACCGCACGGGGAACATTCCCTCTAGACCTGTGTTTCTTCTAGGCAGAGCATGAGCAAAAAATTGGCGCCTTCAAAATTCGTGGTGCTATCAACGCTATTTGCAGCTTGGCTTTCAGTCCCGTCATTTAGTCAGTAGGCTGTTCGCATTGTATCATGCGACTTGGTCTGGGAGCGGCTTCTCCTGGTTCAGTACTAACACTGCCTTGCAGCAAGGCCTCTCTGCAGCAGATTCTTCTCAGCACTATTTACTTCTCCGAATTGATTCTTTTGGAAAGAGCTGCCAGATTGCTTTTGGCGATTCTGGATTCCGTTCAGGACTACATCGTCACGCAATCTAGCGGCAACCATGCTCAGGCTTTGCAAGCTTGCCCAAAATTCAGTGAGTTCAACGCATTTCATACAGAGCACTAGACTCTAGAGTCATGTGTTCCTGGAGGCGATTGCGCTGGGATGCAAACTCTTGGGAAAGAAGGCCATCAAGTACATTTAGAATTATTTAGAGGATAGATTTGCCAACGCATTCAAATTTTTCCCCACATCTTTGTGCGGGGTTTTTGTTTTTGGTTCTGTATCCCGCCGCCTTCTCCTCCTCCTCCTCCTCCCGCCGCCTCCCTCACACACCACTTACTCCTCCCGTCATCACACATACAACTTGTCATCACACGACTCACACACAACTCAACTCACACAACTTGCTCACACACACAACTCAACTCACACACAACTTGCTCACATATCACACATACAACTTGTCATCATACAACTTGCTCACACTCAACTCAACTCACACACACACACAACTTGCTCACACATACAACTTGTCATCATACAACTTGCTCACACACAACTCAACTCACACACACACACAACTTGCTCATTTGCAACTCAACTCACACAACTTGTCATCACACAACTTGCTCACACACAACTTGCCTTACTCATACATTACTCACACACACACACACGTGTCATCACACAACTTGTCCACACACAACTTGTTCACACACAACTTCCTCACACACACACACAACTTGTCCACGCACAACTTGCTCACACACAACTTGTCCTTCCTGACATCCACCTTCGTGACAGGCGAGGCACTTGGCGACATCCGCCTTCGTTTCACGTGGCAGGCGTGGCACTTGGTGACATCCACCTTCACTTTGCGTGGCAGGTGTGGCACTAGGTGACAGGCGTGGCACTTGGCGACATCCACCTTCGTTTCACGTGGCAGGCGTGGCATTTGGTCACATCCACATTCGTTTCACGTGTCAGGCGTGGCACTTACGGCACTGGGCGGGCTCTGGTGGCGCACCGGGTTCTCAGCTGACGCCGTGGACGCCGTGGCTCTTTGCGTGGCAGGCGTGGCACTTGGTGACATCCACCTTCACACAACTTAACACCACACAACGTACTCACACTTACTCTCCCACACACAACTTACTCCACACCAATCCTTCACCATCTCTTTTCTCTTTCCTGCTTTCCCCATGCCATCTCTACCTTTCTTTTGCTGCTTGTTGGAAGAAGTTGACATGTGGGGTTATCCGGTCCTTTAATTTCTGAACCTTTGGCTAGGCTGTGGTGGTCATGCCAGAAGACTCCCCAGGGGTGAAAGTCAGCGCTGTGCGGGACACCTATGGTGCTGAGGCTGGGCTGTGGACAATTTCAGAGGTCTTCCTTTACATTACTTGTGTATATATACATATATATGTATATGTATATACGTGTATATATATATATATCTATGTATGTATGTATGTATGTTTGTATGTATGTATGTATGTATGCAGGTAGGTAGGTAGGTATGTAGGTATGTAGGTATGTAGGTATGTAGGTATGTAGGTATGGAAATGTAATGTAATGTAATGTAATGTAATGTAATGTAATGCAATGTATCTATGTATGCATGTACATACACACATATGTATATATACTATGTGAGTGAGTGATTCCTTGCCGTGGAGCCAATGTGTGCTGATCCACTATATGTGTGATCATGTATGCAGATGGATGGATGGATGGACGGACGGACCTCAATTTCAATTAGAGATGAGATAGTATATGCTGCCCCATGCCGCAAGAGACTTGGAGAGAGTCATGTCGACCTGTGGCCGCAGTGTCGCCCTTCGACTCTTTGTCAGGTGCGTTTCTGCAAAGCCACACAGGAAGCGCGTGAGGCGATGTCTGCAGACATCGTCAGGGAGCTTCGGGAGAAGTTTGGGGAGGAGAAGGCGGAGGAGATCCACCCGAACCAGGACCTAAGTGACTTAAGTGATGACCGCAGGAGATATGAAGCACTGCCAGTGCCCAGTTAATCCATGGCTTCGGAGTTTGACGAAGCGGGTTGAAGCTGCAGAGTATCAGAATCTACAACGAATCGGATCCAAGTGGTGTAGATACTAAATATGTCGCCGCTGTTGTTAGGGCCTTATAGGCACGGTTATACGACATAGGAGCTTGTACGCTGGCATTGATCATGTGAATCATATGTGCCACGGTCACATGATGGATTAATATGAATATGGATTGTATATCCATGTTGGGCGATGCTCATGAACCGATGAAATGCGATTCAGATACTCGTTGCAGATGAATGACTACCAAAAATGCAATATTCGGACCATGGCATACATAGATTGCGATGCAGCTTGTGAGACGTGTCAGCCGCGAGGACATTCGAGTGGTGAACGGCCAAGGTTCGGTTGGATTGGAACTCCTGGAGCAAGAGCCGGATCTGGATGCCATTGTAGTCTTGGCCCAAGGGCGTGGAATTGGCGAGGGAGATGCATATTTGCTCCAGTCCTTCCCTTCAATCATTTTTTTCTGCTCTCAAGGTTTCAATTGGAGGAGGCGGTCTTATTTCTGGAGTGGCTACATATGTGCCTGGATAATGATATGACAATGGACATTTTGACTTTCTTGGAATGGTGTTTTTGATCTATGTTTTTGCCAAACACCCCAGTGATACAAGTAGTTAATTCCTGACATAACCCTCAGCCAACACTCCCCAGGTGAAGTCGGTGAAAAGCCATATCAAAGTCATAGGGGCTGAGCCGGAGCGAGCCAAAAGCGTGCCCTGGTCGCACCGAGAGTTGTTTGCATCAAAAATGTCAATGTGCTCATTTTTGTCTTCTCATGACCAATTGAAATGCGAAAGGTTCGTTCCAAGGGTAGGTGGGTTTCTAGTTAGTGACGTGCATAGACTGGCATAGACCGCTTGGTGACGTGGAGGCTTTTATGTCAAAGCAAGCTGGAAAGCTAGAATCTTGGCGAGTTTAGACTGCATTTGTTTATGGAAGAAAGTACAGCTGAATTCCTTGTTTTTTTCCTCCAAAGTTGCTTCAGGTGAAGAATCCACCAAACACTGTCATTCACACGATCGCGGACTCTGTCAAGAGCAGCCTTGGTCCCACGACGTATCCGGTGGTGCGGGACACCGGCACTCGTCCATTGCGCCATTGTGCATGACTGAAGCCTACTTTTTCTGCGCGTTGCGAGGACTTGGTGGATGACGTTTTCACTGCGACCGAGCAGGAGATTGAAGATGCTACAAAGTTCATGATGGAACGGGCCAAGCAGGTGGAGCCAAGAAATGAGCCAAACAAACTTTGATTCTGCAGCAGTTTGGGAGTACGCAAACTGTGTTTTTCTGCGACTTTTGTTGCCCTGAACACATTAGAGAGACACATGTCAGCTTTCAGCGGCCAAACAAGCCAAACAAGCCAATTCAAACCATTTGAACACATTTACTGCAAAACCCTTTGAAACCATGTCAGACCAGGTCAATGTGTGAGAATGATTGTTACTGCATGGCAATGTTGCATACTGATCATACTACCTTGACGAGCAGGTGGTTGAACCTGGATGTGGTCTGGCTGTGGCAGTGGCCACCTCTGCGCAGCTGTACCAGAGGCAGGATCCGTGAACAAAGCTTGGCCAACGCTTCAAAACCCGTGCTGTGCAGGTACCCCGACCTCAAGAGAGTGGGAGTAGTGCTTTGTGGCGGCTACTTGGTTTTGTCCATGATGTTGATGTATGTTGATGTGGCCATTGATGTGGGATTCTTCAATCCTTGCAATGTCCTGATGCCAGATGTGGGGCATGGAGGGGCTTATAGACACATTTGACTCCATATGCAGTAGGTAGGTGGAGAGCTTCAGAGATGGACATGCATGTTGATGGATCGCTGGAAAGAGAGACAATCATATAAAGGGTTCAAGGCTTAAAGGTAAGTATCTGTATACGTTTGGAATTATTCCGACACTCCATTTGGGATGGACAGATAGATGAATGGATGGTTGGATGGACGGATTGGTAGACCGAGAAATGGGGGGATGAATGGACAGATGGATGATTGCATTGGACTGGTGTACCTAACTACATAACAGACATAACATAGATGGGTTCAGCATGGTTCAGCATTGGCAAGCTGAAGGATAATATTCCAGACCGACTCAGCTAAGGTAACATCGATCTGGACAATTTACCATGGACGAGCAGAAAGAGGCATGATGTTTTTGTGTGCTCCGATGTTACCAATACAACGGCATTGCCCCTCAGGAAGGCAGATGAGATGGGCAAGATGTGAGGGTACATTCCAGGTACACAGAAAAAACAACAACAACTTTCGCTGTGCGGTATTCAGCGCATTGGAATACGCTGCAATTCTATTGTGCCATTTGAGAGCGCATCGCCCGGTCGAAACAGACTGTGTGACCCATCGGTTTCCGGATAAAGAAAAGGTGGCCAGTGCCAAGAGAGTGCAAGCACTGCTGCCAGTGCCAAGTTCACAAGTGGCATCGTAGTTGTGTGGGGTGTGGATGATCCATCACAGTTCGCAGTGTTCCTCTCAGAGGACCATGACCATTGTCCAGCAGTGTGTGGCTGCCAAGGTCAACAGAATGCGTAGCTCGCCTAGCAATCCTTGCGAAACTCTGGCAATGACTTGCCTTCTGCACAGTCTGCCCAGCCTGTGAACGGTTGTTCGTTTTGAGGCACCTTTTTCATGGGAGACAGATGGCGCTCACAGTCGATAGCCTTGGAATGCCTTGGATTTTGCGAAGAAAGCCTTGTAGCTCTGCACGGCTGCATGTATCATGAGTGTATCATGAGAACACGGCTCAGCACGGCTCAGGACACAGAACAAGAAACTTCCTGATCACATCCGCTGCTCCTTCCCGCCATATGCTTTGAGTGCTGATTGTTTGGGCCACTGGGACCTGGATGGACCTGGTATGGCAGTGCAGTTGCTCAAGGCTTGACCTCTTCAAGCGTATGGAGGGCAGCCTTGGCACAAAGGTGCCATGTTCATAGCACCTGGAACTTGAAAAGACCAAACATGACCAAACACACCGAAAGACTAATATATATATAATATATATATAGGTATGTTATCAATTACACATACGCACACACACACACACGCATAAATATATTGATCTTATTGTAACCAAATTGCAGGGATCCTGTCCTGGAGACTGGCTTTAAAGGCTTTGCTGCGCTTTGTTCACACACTTGACCAGGTTGCCGTGGATGTTTGTGAGATTCTAAATGAACCTGTTCCCACCTTAGCAACGTGTCTCATTCAGAAACATGAGTGGATCAAATGTGCAGAGTCAGCAGGATTCACCTGATTCAGGCCATGACGTTCCTGCGGGTCAACACGGCCCGCATCTCGCGTGACAAGGTTTGATCTACGTGCCTTCTGTCAATCCACTGAGAATGGGTCACAATGGCAATGGGTGGAAGGTGCACATGTTTCTCAGCAGTCGTTCCGTGCCGGTGGAGAAGACGCCATGCAGACCTGTTTGGTGCTATGTCCTGGCCTTTCCCTCCGAAGTAGGGCGCCTTGTATTAGTGATTGCCCATGAAGAAATATGCATGGATTTGAACGACTCTCAAAGTGTTCATCACCTTCCCTACCACAGACAGAAGTTCGCAAGACTGTCTCAAGGCTCCTGTCCTTCTTTCATTTGCTGGGTCTCCGCTGCATGCCTCAGCCTGTCAGCATGGCAGGCTGAATTCCCAGATGGGCTTGCTACTTACGTCAAAGCTTTTGGCTCAGTTGAACCGGTCTGGCCTATAGCCTTAGTAGCACCTTGAGTGACCATAGTGTGTCAACACCATATATCCCCGAAATGAGGCAGAACATGCTGGACATTCCGGAGTACAAACTTGGGTGACCTGGACATACCTGGACAACGGCCTTGCAGGTTGCACCTGGATATTCAAATCAAGGGGTATTTTTTTGGGAATTTGTCGTTTTAAATAGTAAGCTCAACGTAGTTTTGATTTAAACTATCTATATATATAGTTATTTTTCAAATTAGATATCAATATATTCTACAGTAAATTAAACTTAGATTGTTGATATATCAAATGGATGTATATAAAAGTACATTTGAATCATGTCTAAAAGAAATCCTTAATTTTAAACTAGATATAACCCAATGTCGATTCAAGATTGAATAAATTTCAAAATCACAATTGATTTCAAACTAAATATTGATCAATCTATATACTCAACTTAAACTCATTTATATAAAGTTATATAAATCTAAGGCAAACTTGGGATCAATTGAAGTTTATTTCTAAATTGATTATTAAGTCAAATTTAAACTACTCCTCAATTGAGTCCAAATTAGCTGTCGCTTTAAGTTTTCAAATCAATTCTAGATTGATATTTGAATTAGATTAGGATTAATTCTATCTAAATCATTTGTTTTTAAAAACTTTCAAGCATCCCGCCAAAATCCAGTGAAAATTTGACGCTGTGCCTTCCCTGCAGCCGCTCAAAACGGGCTCAACAATCGAAGCAATAAGTGGCGCTGACGTTGGAAAGATTATCATTCATGATCCCCAATGGACTCCGATGGACAGAGAATGTACAGGGCAAGTGACGATTGGAGGATTTGGTCCCACTGCACTCGCTGAAACTTGGTCCAAGAAATGGCTTGGTGGCCGGCAGCAATGCTGTGCCGTCCGCTCTGGTCGCCATGGGCATCATGGGCCAGGAGAGAAGAACGATTGGAGGCACATCTTTTCAAGCAGCACTTTTTTTCCACATGTTTAGATAGACCACCCAACATCATCCAACATCATCTACAAATATCTACAATAATTCCAATATGATGCTGCCACTAATCATAGGAGAGCGGCCTTTTTTGGATGCGTAGCTGCATATATTGCCAATTTGTTCCAATCTTTCGCGCAAAGCCGGTTTTTGCTCACAAAGATGTTGGGTAGCGGATCCTTCGGCCAGATTCTTGCCTGCGAACTAACAGCTTTACCACCGCAGTCCCTTTTAACGTCTATTGACTAACGTTTCCAGTGGGTCCTACGGGTGAGGATATACATTGCCAAAGACACTCATTTCTGCAACCGCGAAGTGGCGTTGAAGCTTGAGGTCAAGGAGATGGAAAAATGTTGAGCAGGTTGATCACGAAAGGTAGCTCCAGTGGTGCTACCTTGAGTTTTGCTTTACGAAGTAAAGGGGAGGGTGGCCAGCCCAGTTACTTGATTATTCAGGAGGTTGCTGCTCATTTTAGATACCACCCCCCCAAACCCCCCCTCCACCCCGTCACAAACCCTAAAAACAGACCCCAAAATACTGTAATTTACATGGGTTTTGTGACTTTTGCATCAAAAAATCACTTCTTGCAACATGCCGAAACCTGCGTAAATACCAGTGTTTTTGCTCGGTGCTGTCCAAAAAACACTGTAAATATACCGTGTTTCTTGCTACCATGAGCTGCGGCAGATGGACGTCGAAAGATGTTTGTACTGATGCCATCAGTAACTCAGCAACGTAAGTACTGCAGCCTCTGCATGCGCGAATCTTTTGTGTGGCGAAGCAATTTGCTTCACTGAGATGCAGCAAGATGCAGAACTATAAGCCACATTAAACCACCATGTCCACGTTGAGGGATTGAAACTTGACACATCTTGACAAGGACAACTTTCTGATTGGCCGCGGGCAGAGGTCTAACATCGCAGAGCTCTCAGGGCACCATTTCCCGCCCCGCAATGCCCGTCATGGCTGAGCGGTGAGGTCTACATCATCGACTTTGGCCTTGCAAAGAAATACCGAAATCCTGAGACACTTGTTCATGGGCATCCTGCTCAGAATGGCTCGAAAACCGAAGAAAAAACCGAAGAAAAAACTGGTCTTTAAAAAGGTACAGGTGATTGTCGTGGACTTGTTTGCTTGTTTGGACCTGTAGAAACATGACCCATCCGAGGCCATACCGAGAAAACAAGAACCTCACTGGCACGGCACGCTATGCCTCGCTGCTCACTTGGGCCTGGAGCAGAGTCGACGAGACGACCTCGAGGCCATTGGCTTTGCCAGGCACCCAGAACGGTAACGATCCTGCGGAGCCAAGTGCAGTGACAGTGCAGCGCAGTGCAAGGCGATCATCGTTTGGGAAATAGTAATCCTATAAATGCCCATAGATTACGTCTTTTCCTTTTGACGTACACGGAGGATTGAATGGATTACCAGTATATACTGAATTAATGGACAAGAAATACGCTATCAGATGGTTAGTAGATGAACAGCTAACGCGAGATTAATTAGATGAAACACGTTCGTTTTCAGTTTCTTTTACTAACCGACAATGCATATTCAAATGAATTGGATATGATAGAGGCTATTTTTTCCGTAAAGTCTTCTGAGTTTGTCCGTGCTCGGTGACTGTTACTGCAAGGTACTGATTTACTTCTTGAAGGGCTCTCTGCAGTGGCATCTTGACGGAAGACACGGTGCAGTGGATTGGTCAAATTGGGAGCTTAAGACCAGGTTCACAAGAGATGGCTTGGCACACCAGTGTGTTGGCTGATTTGCTCGGCAAGGCAGGGCATAAAGGCCGATGGCAAGCTTGATAAGCATTTTTTTTATATCTCTGATTTTGCTACCCCTTCGCTGGAACTAGACGCAGTCGACAGACCCGAAGGTATACAGCCATCATGGAGAAGAGGCTTGCTAACATTTGAAGAACTTTGTGAGGGTATGCCTCAGGACTCTTCTGATGCTTTGATCCATGTCATGATCCCATCCCAGGATCACAGGAATTTGCAAAGGCATTTTGTCTCTCGTTCGGTGCAGGAATTTGCCGCCTACCTCACCTATGTAAGCTGACCAAGATTGTTTATTAAGACATATCCTAGTCACAATTATTGGGTCTTTTTGGGTGCCCGAGGCCAGCTGGAGTTTGACGAGGAGCCAGACAGAAGCGACCTCAGCAGGCAGTAAATATACCAGTGTGAACCTTTCCCAATCTATCTCAGGATACTTCCGATGGCTGTTCCAAAGTGTTTCCCATCGCTTGGAGCTCAGCTCTCCTGGATGTATATCCTTGTCTCAGCCTGTCTCAGCTGACAGGTGAAGGCTTTCAGAACGATGGCTGCTTTGATTGGAACCTGGTGAAAGGTCGCTCAGATCCAGCGAATGAGCACCGGCAGGCCGGTGGAGCATGCACCGATGAACTTGTGACATTTTGTGACGTGGCTGGATTCAAGGATGCCTAGGCTAGGCCCAACTAGGCCAGGGTGAGTCGATGTACTTGAGAATACTGGGGATATGATGGTAAAATGCAGCGCCTTGGACATGACGATCTTGGATTTTTGTTTGAGCAGTGTTACTCACTCAAGGTCCGTTGAGCCATCATTGCCCAGATGGCTGATCCTGGTGAGGCCAGACGTCGGACGTCCGCAACAAGCAGCCAGCATACAGATAGTGGCTTGGATTCAGACCTGAGAAGCATCGCCTCCATGCTGTGCTGCAGGGTGTTTCGTGGTGCTTTGAGTCTTGCGCTTTTTAGCTCAGGAGCCACTGATGTGGTCCTCTCAGTCTTGTCTGGCTGATTCGAAAACGGATATGCGGATGGCTGCAGCGGTGAATGGATTGGGCTTGGGTAGGTTTGTGAGGGCCATCAGCCATCAGCCATCAGCCATCGACAGCTCGACTTGTGCGTTGCCCTGATAGCAGGTACTTTGAAATTCAAGACGAGTCCTCGCAGCTCATTGCAGACCAGGCTCGCAACACCATTGAGGGGACATCATCCTCACATATACGTTGAGTTTGCATTGTGCTGCTTACATGCACATACATCTTACGTATTAGTAGTAAAATCAATCAATCAATCAATCAATCAATCAATCCATAAATCAATCAATCCATCAATTAATCTATGAATACATGAATCCATAAAATCGATCAAATCTATTAGAATCTATTGACTCAATTATATGAATCTACAACATCAATTTATATATATATATATGTATATATAAGCCATAATCTATCAAACGCTATCAATCTATCAAGCACTATCAACCATCAAACACCATCTCAAACACTATCTCAGTCACTGTCTCAGACACTATCTCAGACACTATCTCAAACACTATCTCAGACACGATCTCAAACACTATCTCAGACACTATCTCAAACACAAACACTATCTCAAACACTATCTCAAACACTATCTCGGACACTATCTCAAACACTATCTCAGACACTATCTCAAACACTATCTCAGACACTATCTCAAGCCCTATCTCAGACACTATCTCAGACACAATCTCAAGCCCTGTCTCAAACACTATCTCAAGCCCTATCTCAAACACTATCTCAAGCCCTATCTCAAACACTATCTCAAACACTATCTCAGACACTATCTCAAACACTATCTCAAACACTATCTCAGACACTATCTTAAGCCCTATCTCAGACACTATCTCAAACACTATCTCAGACACTATCTCAGACACTATCTCAGACACTATCTCGAACACTATCGCAGACACTATCTCAAACACTATCTCAGACACTATCTCAAACACTATTTCAGACTCTCAAACACTATCTCAGACACTATCTCAGACACTATCAAGCCCTATCACAAACACTATCCCAAGCCCTATCTCAAACACTTTCTCAAACACTTTCTCAAACACTATCTTAAACACTATCTCAAACATTACCTCAGACACTATCTCAGACACTATCCCAAGCCCTATCTCAGACACTATCTCGAACACTATCTCAAACACTATCTCAAACACTATCCCAGACACTATCTCAAACACTATCTCAGACACTATCTCAAGCCCTATCTCAGACACTATCTCAGACACTATCTCAAACACTATCTCAGACACTATCTCAGACACTATCTCAAGCCCTATCTCAGACACTATCTCAGACACTGACACTGTCTCAAACACTATCTCAGACACTATCTCAAGCCCTATCTCAGACACTATCTCAGACACTATCTCCAGCCCTATCTCAGGCAGTATCCCAAACACTATCTCAAACACTATCTCAGAGACTATCTCAAGTATATGTCAGACACTATCTCAAACACTATCTCAGAAACTATCCCAAGCCCTATCTCAGTCACTATCTCAAACACTATCTCAGACACTATCTCAAACACTATCCCAGACACTATCTCAAACACTATCTCAAACACTATCTCAGACACAATCTCAAACACTATCTCAAACATTATCTCAGACACTATCTCAAACACTATCTCAAGCCCAATCTCAGAAACTATCTCAGACATTTTCTCAAGCCCTACCTCAGACACTATCTCAAGCCCTATCTCAAACACTATCTCAAACACTATCTCAGACACTATCTCAAACACTATCTCAAACACTATGTCAAAAAACTGTCTCAGACACTATCTCAGACACTATCTCAGACACTATCTCAGACACTATCTCAGACACTATCTCAAGCCCTATCTCAGACACTATCTCAAACACTATCTCAGGCACTATCTGAAACACTATCTCAGACACTATCTCAAACACTATCTCAGACACTATCTCAGACACTATCTCAAGCCCTATCTCAGACACTATCTCAAACACTATCTCAAAAACTATCTCGAATAATATTTCAATCACTATCTCAAGCCCTATCTCAGACACTATTTCAAACACTATCTCAGACGCTATCTCAAACACTATCTCAAACACTATCTCAGACACTATCTCAAAAACTATCTCAGCCACTATCTAAAACTCTATCTCAGACACGATCTCAGACACTATCTCAAACACTATCTCAAACACTATTTCCGGCACTATCTCAAGCCCTATCTCATGCAGTATCCCAAACACTATCTCAGACACTATCTCAAGCCCTATCTGAGACACTATCTTAAACATTATCGCAAACACTATCTCAGACACTATCTCATTCACTATCTCAAACACTATCTCAGACACTATCTCAAGCCCTATCTCAGACACTATCTCAAACACTATCTCAAACACTATCTCGAAAAATATTTCAATCACTATCTCAAGCCCTATCTCAGACACTATTTCAAACACTATCTCAAACACTATCCCAAGCCCTATCTCAGACACTATCTCCGACACTATCTCAAACACTATCTCAAAAACTATCTCAGACAGTATCTCAAACACTGTAGCAGACACTATCTCAAGCCCTATGTCAGACACTATCTCAGACACTATCTATCTCAGACACTATCTCAAGCCCTATCTCAGACACTATCTCAAACACTATCTCAGAAAATATCTCAAGCCCTATCTCAAACACTACCTCAGACACTATCTCAAACACTATCTCAGACACTATCTCCAACCCTATCTCAGACACTATCTCAAACACTATCTCCGACACTATCTCAAACACTGTCTCAGACACTATTTCAAGCCCTATCTCAGACACTATCTTAAACACTATCTCAAACACTATCTCAGACACTATCTCAAGCCCTATCTCAGACACTATCTCAAACACTATCTCAAACACTATCCCAAACACTATCTCAAAAACTACCTCAAAAACTATTTCAGACACTATCTCAAACACTATCTCAGACACTATCTCAAATACTATCTCAGACACTATCTCAAACACTGTCTCAAACACTATCTCAGACACTATCTCAAACACTGTCTCAGACACTATCTCAAGCCCTATCTCAGACACTACCTCAAACACTATCTCAAACACTATCCCAGACACTATCTCAAGCCCTATCTCAGAAACTATCTCAAGCCCTATCTCAGACACTATCTCAGACACTATCTCAAACACTATCTCAAAAACTATCTCAGACAGTATCTCAAACACTGTAGCAGACACTGTCTCAAGCCCTATCTCAGACACTATCTCAAACCCTATCTCAGACACTATCTCAGACACTATCTCAAGCCCTATCTCAGACACTATCTCAAAAACTATGTCAGACACTATCTTAAACACTAGACCAAACACTATCTCAAACACTATCTCGGACACTATCTCAGGCACTATCTCAAACACTATCTCAAACACTGTCTCAAACACTATCTCAGACACTATCTGAAACACTACTTCAAACACTATCTCAGACACTATCTCAAACACTATCTCAAGCCCTATCTCAGACACTATCCCAGACACTATCTCAAACACTATCTCAAACACTATCTCAGACACTATCTCAAACACTAACTCAGACCCTATCTCAAACACTGTCTCAGACACTATCGCAAGCCCTATCTCAGACACTATCTCGGACCTATCTCAAGCCCTTTCCCAGGCACTATCTCAAACACTATCTCAGACACTATCTCAAACACTAACTCAGACCCTATCTCAAAAACTATCTCAGACACTATCTCAAGCCCTATCTCAGACACTATCTCGGACACTATCTCAAACACTATCTCAAACCCTATCTCAGACACTATCTCAAAACCTATCTCAAACACTATCTCAGACACTATCTCACAAACACTATCTCAGACATTATCTCAGACACTATCTCAAACACTATCTCAAGCCCTATCTCAGGCACTACTTCAAACACTATCTCAAGCCCTATCTCAGACACTATCTCAAACGATATCTCAAACATTATCTCAAGCCCTACCTCAGACACTATTTCAAACACTGTCTCAAACACTATCTCAGACACTATCTCAAGCCCTATCTCAGTCACTATCTCAAACACTATCTCAGGCACTATATCAAACACTATCTCAGACACTATCTCAGACACTATCTCAGACACTATCTCAAGCCCTTTCTCAGACAGTATCTCAGACACAATGCAAACACTATCTCAGACACTATCTCAAACACTAACTCAGACCCTATCTCAAACACTGTCTCAGACACTATCGCAAGCCCTATCTCAGACACTATCTCGGACACTATCTCAAAAACTATGTCAGACACTATCTCAAACACTATCTCAGACACTATCTCAAACACTATCTCAGACACTAGACCAAACACTATCTCAAACACTATCTCGGACACTATCTCAGGCACTATCTCAAACACTATCTCAAACACTGTCTCAAACACTATCTCAGACACTATCTGAAACACTACTTCAAACACTATCTCAGACACTATCTCAAACACTATCTCAAACACTATCACAGACACTATCCCAAACTATCCATCAATCCATGAATCTCTCAATCTCTCTACCTCTCTGACTCTACTTATCTCCCTGTCTCTCTATCTCTCTTGCTTATCTATCTCGTCTATCTCGTCTATCTCGTCTACCTCATCTATCTCATCTATCTATCTTATCTATCTTATCTATCTTATTATCTATCGTTTCTATATTATGTATTGAATCTATCTTATCTTAGTCCAATCCAATCCAATCTAATCTAATCCAACCTAACCTTATCTACATACCTATCTACCTGTCTACCTATCTATCCTTTCTATCCTATCTAACGATCTATCTATCTATCTATCTACCTATCTATCTATCTGTCTATCTATCTAATCTAATCTAATCTAATCTTATCTAATCTTATCTAATCTTATCTAATCTTAATCTAATCTAATCTAATCTTATCTAATCTAATCTATCTATCTATCTATCCATCTATCTATCTATCTGAGCTATCTGTCTATCTATCTATCTATCTATCTATCCATCTATCGATCTATCTATCTATCTAATCTAATCTAATCTTAATCTAATCTAATCTAATCTAAATCTAATCTAATCTAATCTAAAATTATCTTAATCTTAATCTTAATCTTATCTTATCTTATCCTATCCTATCTTATCTTATCCTATCTATCTATCTATCTATCTGTCTGTCTGTCTATCTATCTATCTATCTATCCTATCTATCCTATCTATCCTATCTATCCTATCTATCCTATCTATCCTATCTATCCTATCTATCCTATCTATCCTATCTATCCTATCTATCCTATCTATCCTATCTATCCTATCTATCCTATCTATCCTATCTATCCTATCTCCTATCCTATCCTATTACCCTATCTATCCTATCTATCCTATCTATCCTATCTATCCTATCTATCCTATCTATCCTATCTATCCTATCTATCCTATCTATCCTATCTATCTATCTAAATCTATCTAATCTATCTAATCTATCTAATCTATCTAATCTATCTAATCTATCTAATCTATCTAATCTATCTAATCTATCTAATCTATCTACTCTATCTAATCTATCTAATCTATCTAATCTATCTATCCGTTTTATCTATCCAATTTTTCTATCTAACCTATCTGTCTGATGCATCTATCTAATCCATCTATCCATCGGTCCATCCATCTATCGATCCATCTATCGATCCATGTAAGCGATCGATGTATCGATCTATCTGTCGATCCATCTATCGATGCATCTATCTATCCATCCATCTTTCTTTCTATAGATCTAGCCATCTAGCGATCGATCTATCGATCCATTGATCCATCGATCCATCGATCTGTCGATCTGTCGATCTGTGGATCTATGGATCTATCTGTCTCTGTTTGTCTGTCTGTCTATCTGTTTGTCCATCTATCCATCTATCTGCCTCTTTAAGCAAAGACACGCAGGACATGCACACGAACATGTGCAACAGATGTATGCTGCGTAGCCCCATGTGTAGAAGTGCTTTGTTTCCGCTGGTCGTGTTCTTTTTTGAGGGTTGTTTAGGATATATAGGATAGAAAAAGGCGTGGTTGGACCCTCATCCCTCGTTTCTCTTACGTTTGTGTGCATTGGACCGATGTACAGAATCTATTTTCTATTCATCAAATTATCATAGCCTCAATTTGAGGAAATCATGGCACTCGAGCACTAGAATCACTGAGCAAGAGGCTCACATGTCACGAAAACTAGCTTGTGTTAAGCAGCTAAGCTGAGGTAACTCTTGCCTTAGCAAGGAGTAGGGGGCTAGGACGTTGGATCTATAGACAGTTTCTGGTTTATACCCCCCCTGCCCTCCTTGCCCCTCCTCCCCTGGGCTGAGTGAGGAATCATGATCAGCATCATCACATCACATCCCTTTGCATAGATTATTGAATGTTGCCTCTTTTTTTGCTTGTCCTTTTCTTTTCTCTTCTCTCCCTCTCTCCGTCTCTCACACACACACACACACTCTCCCTCTCTCTCTCTTTTTCTCCGTTTCTTCCATCCCTTTCCTCCTGCATTCATTTGTGCGATTCTTTGTCTTTGCATGGAACCCAAAAAGCATTGATCCTAGCCCTCCTTTTTCGGGGCGTTTTTCTTCCCTTGTCTATCTTCAACTATTTTCCTTCCGGAGATCTGCTGCACCGATCTGCTGCACCTTCTCCCACAGAACCCTCCACCCTGGCAGCAGATGAATAAACCCATTGTAAATCCATGTCCCAGCCAGCTAGCTGCAGCTAGCTTTTTCGTACCTCCCCGCTGACTCAAGTTCATGTTACGTCAGAATCTTTGTGGCGAGGTTGATGCCAAGCCGGGCGATTTAGTCATGGACTTCTGCGCAGGAAGTGGTGGCAAGGTTCCTCTTGCAAGGCAGACATCCAGATATCATGCCCCTGCCACGATTGGTCGCCCAGGCGCTGTGTATTGGCCCCAAGATGCTCAACCGCGGCCAGGCCTTTTAGAGTGGATTGACAATCCTAGATTATTCTCTAACTCTAGATTATTCTAGATTCAGATGATTCAGGATTCAGCATAGTTTTGTGGATGATGAATGACCACTTGTGGATGCTTGTTTGATGATGGCGTGGTTTTGAAGTGGGTTCCCATCTGGCAAGTGCTTCCGCAGTTACTGTACCTTCCTGTCCGGCGCTGGCTTGATAGCGTGCACGGGGCGAAATCAAGTGGAACCAATCAAAACAGATGTCAAAGGATCTATTAGAAACCACTTACACAATGATGTTCACCTCTTCCACCGTAGAAGGCCACTGCTTCACCTAGCAATGAAGAAACCATCACATGTCAGTTCCAGGCCATCATGCATAAATACTGTTACTGTCAGGGTGAACGCCCATGTCGCCAATTCGCTGGTGTTACTACGTTCTGTAACACCTGAGTGGCCATTCCCTTGGTGCTGAAGGCTAAAGGATCCAAAGGCCATGGGGATTGCTTGCTGCCGGCAGGATATCCCGCAAGCCTTACTTCAAGGAGTTCCTGGCGATGACGACTGCCCAAGATTCTCAGATGGACCGTCTCTGGCAAGCCCAACAGACATGTCACCTGAAGAGGAGAAAAGTTTTCCTGAAGAAGAGGAAGATGAGTTAGCCCTGCCACCAGGAGGGATGTTTACAGTCCTGATGTTTGGGATGACTGGAGCAGGCAAGAGTGCTCTCGGAAATCTGATGGCAGGCTGTGAGGCTTTTGCCTCGGGAGATGATACAGCTAGTGTCACAAACCTCGACTCTGTGATGAGATATGAAGCTACGGATGACTCACTCGTTGTTCTCGATACGATTGGTCTTGGGGACACTGAGATTGATCAAGACAAGGTCGTAGCCAGTATTCGGGATGTGGCCCTGTCAGCCGTGAATGGCGTGGATGCAATGTGTTTCGTGATGCGTAATGCACGAATAACAGATGATGCCATAGCAAGATTGATCTATGTGACGGAGTACTTGTGGGGCTCAAACTGTCTGCTGAACCTCTATGTCATTGTGACATTTGCTAGCAAGTACTTGGCTAGTCGGAAAGAGGCAAATGAGTGGATTGAAAGACAGGTTGAACTGAATTGGCGTTTCAAGCACATTTATGAGCTTGTTGGCAGAAATCCCTACCGCTTTCTTTTCGTGGACAATCCTAGTACAGACTCAGGGGAGCCCAATATCGAGGAGCGGCAGGCTGCAAGTCGAAAGGCTCTCATGACGGCTTTCATTCAGCATCCTAGAGATGTGATACCTCCATTCACCCACTCGGTCATGGAAAAGGCGAGGCGCCTGGTTGAGGAGCAGAAGAAAGAGGTGGAACGGGCCACCGAAAAATTCGCGCAGCTCCATGCTGCGAAGCTCGAGAGAGAAAAGAAGAGAAAGAGCAAGCGCAACAGCCGCCGGCAGAACACAGCTGGCACAGAGCAAGCGCAACAGGCAGTTCAAGTGGCATTGGAAGAAAAGAAAAAGGCACAAATGTCATTGACAGAGGCCTTGCTGAAGGTCAGATCTGATGCAGACTTTCAGAGAGAAGTCGCAATGGAGGCAGAATTAGCAACCTTGCGCTTTGGTCAAGATTTTGATCTGCCAGATTCCGAATCTACAAAGGGCACAGGAACGACAGCACCCGGAACACCTACATCCAACCCATCACAGAATCCCGTGCAAGCTTGCAAACGCATGTTCTTTTCCTTAGTGAGCTCGGTCAACAAGATGGGCATCAGGAAGGGTTCATCGAAGAACATCAAAGATGTCAAAGAGCCCAGGAAAGGTTCGAAAGGCATAAAGAAGGATGAGCCAAAAAAAACCCAGCCGCCCCAGAGGAAGACCAGTGCTGAGGATATCCAGAAAACTCTTGATGCTGCTATCTTCCAGCTAAAGACCAATATGAAGGGTCCGCCGCAAGCGGTATTTAAGCAGCTGGACAAAAGGAAGACTGGAATGGTGACACCAATGGAGTTTTCAGAATTTGTACAGAAGAATGTGTCGCAAATCAGTGCCTTGGCAAAAGTTGATCAACAGCTGACTCTCACTCAGCCTTTCAAAGGGCAGAGTTCCCAGGGTTCCCCCTAAAGATGAAGAGTGAGAGTATGGCATGACTGAAGGCAGTTCCAAGACATCCAAAAGTGCAATGATGCAGCTCTACTAATTTTGCATGAGACAGGCTATCAACAACTATGAGGTAGTCAGACTAGGGAGTATTGTATTGAATTGATGCTTGGTTAGTGACTGATTTTCAAGTTTGCATACTGGCGTTGCTTAGTGACACTTCTCACCCTGACCAATCTTCCAAACAGCAGCACTAGCACTCTGCTGAAAGCTGAGGCAGAGCACAGATTGGTGGCCTCTGGCGCATGGCGGATCGAAACTGTGATGGAAAGCTCGACTTGCAGGAGTTCACTGATCTTCTGAGTTTCAAGTCAATATACCACTGAACATGTTTAAAGTCTAAACAAACGTTTTGAAAAACGTTTGAAACCAAAGCCAAAATACCTCATCAGGCCGATGTGACACATGGCCGATGGCTGTGCTGATCAGTTTTGATGCAAGCAGATGCTACGAGAATGGTGGGACCACATTCACTCATGTCCTTTGAAACTCCCTTGGTTGTTGTTGTGGTGGGGGGCAGCTGTTGCTTCATGTTTCAAGTTGCCAAACAAGCATTTGCTAGCTAAACTGCTATGTCCTTCAGAATTCAGCCATAGTCAAAACCGTCAAGCGGTGCATTCTTTGCCAAGAGGCAGACAAGGCAGACCTTGGTGCTGCCCCACGCCTGCAGCAGCTCATTGGTACTGCCATGATTTTTTGATCCCGGGTTCCGCAGCCATGAACAGTGCAGCAGCTCAGACTCCCACATGATTTGGTTCAGAACTTCTCCTTGATCTATCAAACCAAGCTAAGATAAAGGGGTTTCTTAAAACGGGGTATCCCCAAAACCAGGGTTGCAAATGTTTCAAGACGAAAACGGTCTAACTTTGGATGATTTGGGGGTACCCCCTTTTCAGGAACCCTTCATGTGTAAAGATAGTGAAGGCGCCTAGGGCCTGGGGCTGCTTTGATGTGTTACAATACTTGCAACGATAAGAGCATGATGTCGAAGACATCAGCCAACAGTGTGACAAAATGCAGGTGCAAAAAGATGAAAAAAGGAAGACCGTGGGTTACCATTCAGCAGCAATTTTGGCAAAGAGGAGTCTGAATATATTTGGTTTCAGCTTTCGCCACTTTGGCCCTGGAGGGAGGAAAGGCAGCCCATAGTCTCGAAATGCTGGTGCCTTGAGCAAGCGGAAGCAACACTGAACAGCTATTACTTGCATCTTCCTGCAGATCTTCCTGCACGACGTCCGTGATACAAAGCTGTTCGAATCGAAGCGCCGCTTTCGCAAGGCTCAAGACTTGGGAACCACTTCTATGTTGTTCATAGGAGCAGTCTTTTTGTAGCGTTGCCTGTCACTAAATAGACGCGACATTAAAGTCCTTCTTCGATGAGGCTCAGGTGTTAAGGCTTGTTCAGGTTCACTGCTGTTTCAAAGCGTGTATAAGCTTATTTTCGCTAAGTATTCTAAATACTCAGCTATCCCATTGATCTGCCTATAGATTCATGTTGTGGGCCATTCAGTTGGCTCTTGTTGAAGCTTCTTCCCGTATTACACTCGAAGCGTATTTGCTCAAACCAGTGTCGATCCTACGTTCGTTGGGAGATTGGCCGCCCTGCTGACATTATATAGAGTGGTACTTGACCAGACCTGCCTTTCTCAAAAAGTTTGGGCTCTGTGCAACCCCTGAGGCCATGCCAAGCCGTGGGCGGCACCCAGGCCTGATAAAGATACAGCAGTTTTTTTCGGCCCTTAGGCAGTGCAAAGTCGTCTTCCTCCAAGTCATTCGCTTCTTGGCGAAAGCCCCCAAGTTGAAAACGCTTCCCAAGTGGCGTTGGAGCATATCACCGGAGGCAACGCTCTCTTGGCGTTGTTTGTTGCCAGTGCGCTTTTTGCAGCAGCTGGCTTTGTGTCATGTCCTGAGGGAATCAACCGCACCATCGACACAAATTTCTGCGTCGATCAGTCAACAATGCTCGGTCCCTGTGATGTCAAGGCAGAGTAATGCCTTCGTAGCCACTGGAAATCGTCAAACCCGCGTCAGTGAAGGCCTCAGTGCTATTGAAACTTTGCCAGGACAGGGGATGGCCACTGCAGGCTTGTTGTGTGAGGTAGTCCAGATATCACTACTGGGTGTAGATGCAATGGTTGAGTCTGGAGGTTTGGCAGCGCCGGGCGCTTTGGCCGCACCTTTGCAGGTGCCACTGATTCAGCCTACACCCAACCGGCCACCACTTGGCACGGTTCCAGATGTCAGGCAGCGACAAATCCGCTGGAACACCCCGTGACAGCTTCACGTCTTCGCAGCTTGGGATGCCTGCTGCTGGCCATGGGAGCGTAGCTGGTCAGCACAGGTCATAGAGCTTTTCCTGTGTGGCCCGCTGACTCATTGGAAATTAATGTCATGGCATGTCATGGCCAATCATTTCACATCTGCGGATGCAGTCCTGGCCCGAGGTTCGCGGCAAGGAGTGGTGCCCGACCAACGAACGGCTCCTTGGCTGTCACAGGTTTAGACGAAATCGCAGCGACTGTATGATCAGTATAGCTATGCTTAGCTTTTGGCAGATCTAAGGCTTCCGGTTGGCTGGTCCAAAGCTGCTGGTGCAGTTTCATCCCAGGGCTTCGGAGTCCAAGCTGGCAACCGCAGCACTGGGCACGGCATATTCTATGGAGCTTGGGAATGAGTGGAATGTGGACTCTGCTGGGGCAGACCTGAATCTGGCTTCGGAACTCATCGACATTGCACCAACCGCATCTCCAAAGCCCATGGTTGCTGCCTTCGGTCAAACCGCTCAAAGATTGCCAGGGCTTGGAGCTCTGAAATCTTCCAAGGGCAGGCGTGCTCATCAGCGACGACAGCATCGCAACATTGGGTCGAAGCTTTGTGCTTCCTTGCGGTATGAAATGCCATCTCTCAGCTTTGATTCCAGCAGAGTGCGTTCGAAGATCCAGACACTTGGCGGATTGATGATTGATGGACCGAAACAGAAAATAACAATGGCTGGAACCCATCCATTGAAAACGCAAAGCATTCAAAGGACCGCTTTCATGATTCGAGCATTTTGGAACGATACTCCGATAGAATATATAGATAGACTCGTTATCGCACACTGCTCTCCAGGATGGGTGACGGGTGCCCCTCTAAGATCAGGAAGACCAATCGCCTGTGTACATCACGAATCATTCGATGAACTTTTCATAGAATCATGCACTTCAATTCACCGGTAGTGGCATGTCTTAAGATAGTGCAGTAGTATATGGATACGGTAGTTATATAGGCCCTAGTGTGGATGATCCCACGCGTTTTGAACATCAGGATGGGTCTCTCGATTGGCGCGAGCCCCAAGATCCCAAAAAGCCGCAACGCAGCTCGAAGCAACGAGTCCATCGAATCTGACCAAGTCATGGCGGAGTCTTGGCTGTTTTCGGACCAACGTGTTGTGCTGATAGATGCTGCACAGATGGATCTGCAACGCAGTGCAGGGCACATGTCCCCACGGCACATTTGCCGTGTTCTGCTGAATTCACGTGGGCGATCATGGATGACCAAGGAACTATTGTTCAGAAGCTACAGCGGTGAAGTGACTTGGCTAGACTTTTCTTGTGAGTCTGACTGCAAATTGGGCACAGCATGGCACAGCATGGCTTCTTGTTCCGGGTGCCGCTGCCAGGATCATGAAAAAAAGACAGCGACCTGGCAGAAGAAGCGCGTTGAACCATCACCTGAATGGCTTGGTTTCGCTGAGGCTATTCCCTTTGAAGATCAGCTCCTTGATTGAAATAGAGAGTCGCTCATGGCACGTTTTTGTCATCGATCTCGAGAATGGGGGAGGCGTGTGGAAGAAATACTGAGACTTGTCGTGGGTCAGGTGGAGCCTGACTTCATTGGTACGGGATACGAGGCCAGGCATTCTATACCACTTGCCTTTCTCTTGAAGGCAATCTCGGGTCGTAATTGAAGGGAATTCCCATAGCTGCCATAGCAAGTTTCTGGAGATTCGATGTGTAGGATGCTGAAGGAAGCCCTATGATGAACCGGGTGGCTCAGATGCCGAATGCAGCACCACATCACCACATCACCACATTGTGCCCTGTCGTGTCAGTGCTGACCCGCTGTGGGACCCGCTGTGGCCAAGGAGCTCGGAACATCTGTGGCTGAGGTCGCAGCGGTTCATAGAGCCTAGCCTGCCATGTGGGCCGATGTGTAACATCCCTCGGCATTTTAACACATTTTAACACTACATGTTCGGTCTTTGTTCAGAATGTTCAGATTTGTTCAATGCAGTTGAATCATGTTGAATCCGATATTCTTTTGTCCCCTCACAATGAGCTGGCCCAGGCACTCCCCAGATGGGAATTCTTGTGCTTCCACAGCGTCCGGGCACTGGATGATGTGCTCAACTTTCACTGTGTCTTTTGACCTGGTGATTCAAAAGGCATCCCTGAGCCTGGCTTTGCGTTGAAGCTTTCCTCAGTCTGCCTTAGCTGACCTTGAAGGTAGGTCCAAGGCCATGTCAGCTCCATTTGCAACCAAAATCGCATCAGTAGAGCCTAGCATGAGAAACTATAACACACACACACGCACATATATATATATATATAATGTGTATATATAGATGTATATATATGTACATACATATACTATACATTTATAATTTATAAATGAAAACAAAGGCATGCAAATACTAATACTATCAAACATGTAGAAATACAATGTACGAGGGATTGTGTGCCTGATCATGTCAGAGAGTCCTGTTCCATCCTAAATGGTCATGTTTACAGAGACCAGAGATTGGTTTTGATGTGGCCTTGCTGTGCTTGGATTTGGACGAGCTGGATGCTGTTCTGAATTAGATGTGCACCAGTGGCTGCCGTGCCTGGTGACCTTGTGTTGATTGGACCGACTTGGAGCTGTGGTGTTTTCTGCAGGTGCCCAGCCGCTGGCGCACTACTTGCCTTGACCATATATATGGTTCAAGCACCCATGCCATGGAATCCACTCGGAGAAGTGCATGTTTTGTTGCTTGAACGTTAACTTCGGAATAGGCTATATAGCAGATTTCTCTACGAATGGGTCAAGCTTAGCCGATTATGTTTCTTTATGTTTCTTTGTGCTGTGACATGCCGTTCCGACTGGGGTAAAGGATGGTGCTGGTGAAGGAGGCCATTTAAAAGGGCCGACATTTGGTGAGCTCGTCAAAGAGCCCAGAATCGATTCATCCGCCCTGATATGATGGAGAGGCCGAGAGGCCTGGCTGGGCTCCTCGCTTGCAATCTGAGTGTTGACCGTGGGGACAATTTGACAGACGAGCGAGATCGACGAGTGACCGTACCATACAATAACATACAATACCCATAGTGAACACATGTGATCAGCCAAGGCCTGGCCATTGTGCATAAGCTGCTGGACTTCACGAGCAACGCAGTTCTCGGCGGAAAACATGAGTCCGTGCAGGATTCTGTACAGTGGGTTTCCTGTGTCATGATCCTCAGGAATTGCTACGGACGTTTTCTGGTCATACATGTGGATGTCGTATACACATCATACTGAATCATACACGTGCACACTTGTCCATGGCCATATGCATACGTAGACCGCCACTATCCCACGCACGCCCACGTAGATCCACAGACTTTCAAAACGCTACATGAGAACCAGAATATCATGCACCTGTCAACCAAAGTGTTTTCAGGCATCACTAGCACTATATGGGGTTAGACAATGTTAGACATTGCAGGAGCTCGTTGTTACATATTGTTGGTGTTTGCGCCAGGCAAATGTCAACAACTACACCTTGCTGCCACCATCTCATCCGCCAGGTCCTTGGCATGACAGGACTTTGCACCGTGTTCAGCATGGCAGAATGGCAGCTGAGAAATCTGAGGCAGCTACCAAAACTGCGTGGCAGAATGGATTGGGTTCAAGTCCCGGCTGGTAGAGATGTGTGAAAAGTTATTGCTTGGACTCATTGTTGGAAGGATCGCAGTTGCAAAGGTGCTGGTGGATGCTCCTTGCTCACAAACGGGGGCGCTGCGGAGAAATCCAGACATGAAGTGGACTGGGCCTTGGGAAGAGTGGCAGCGGCCACATATGTTGATTCTCTGTTTGCGAGAACAATTTTGCAAGCAGCCTAACAGGCCTTCTCCTTACTTGAGCATCAAGCTTAGCTATGAAGTCCTTCTTGTTGGTACCGCCCCCTGGCTCCTGTGAATGGCTCAAGCTTACAATCCTTGTAGGGCCCTTAGCCCTAGGGCGAGCCATGGGTGCAGATGCGGTCTCACAAGATCCTTGGTGCCAAGTTGCGGAAACGAGTCACCCCGAATGCTGATGTAAAGTGAGAAAGTATGTGAACACAGTGCAATCCACTGTGGATCTGAAGTTGACAAACTCATTCAAAATGTGCCTGAAGAATCCTACCGTAACTATTTGATATTATTCGTAGTTTCGCAATCCGGCGTTTGGTTGCCGTACATCCAATGACATGGGACATCACCAGGACCGGATGCTGGAGGATGCAGCCACATGGCTGGAGAAGGCCGGTGAAGTCTTAGCGATGAACCCGCGCAGTGCAGCGCAGATGGCTCTCCGGGCCCAAGCTTTGGCAGAGATGGCGCCTTGGCCACCAGAGACACCCAAACAAGCGGGGCTTCCAGATGCTGTAGACACTGTAGACACTGTAGATGTAGGAGTCTTTAAGATCCAACTTAGCCATTGTCCAAGCCTTCAAGAGCTTGGACGACAATGGATAGGCAGCGACCATCCTAGGCAGGTGCTCAAGGTGCACAAGCCAGTGCCTTGCTACTCTCTGCGCAGGTCTCCCTGCATCAAGGCAAGTTGCGGGACAGTGGAATTTTAGTTGGTCCTGCTGGTAGGTTTGGAAAAAAATGAGCATTTTTGCCTTCTTGACATATTTGACCACTTTTGACCTGAAATTGTCTGGAAAGAAACTATCAGTTTTTAGTCAGGTAAAGGGAAGGCCGCGCGCACAGCTGCACAAAGAGCGGTCCGACTTTTCAAGCAGGACAGAACCTGAGTACTGTGCACCCAGACAACTACAAGAAGGGTGAAATCGACTGAAACAGTGAATCATGCACTGACATGAGGTTCGGTAATGAACCCGGTAATGGGTGAAAGACTGGGTCTTTGTATGATGATGTTTGTATATTTTTGTCCGATGTCTACGTGGGCAAGCAGATGCTGTGTGTGCTCAGGACGGGGATCTCCAAGGTGAGGCTCGTGCGTCCTTTGAGTCGGCCAGGGCGGAGTTGATGTCCCTGGAGAATGGCACCAGGGAACCGACCCAGACTGCCTGGGAGTCCGCCCGGCAAACCGCTCAGGCTGATGGGGTTGTGGTGTGGGCGCAGCATGACCCAGCTATACAAATTATACAAGACATTTTCTTCTGAACGTCCCTCCCTCATTTGAGATATTTGAGAAGTGCCATCGCCTGGAGGAAGCCGTGCGGAAGTCCGGCGCACTGGGCCTGGATGACTTGGCTGCGGCAGCCTTGTCACAGCTCGCCAAAGCACAGACAGCATTGGGTCAGAGCGAGGACAGGATGTGATGCGAGATTCCGGGCGTGGATTGCAAGGGAAGGCCCCAGTGTACTTTTGAATCTTTTGAAGCATCTCGCATCTCCAAAAATGCCCACGAAGCGTCCAATTCTTTTCAAGGTCAGGTGCGACTTCATCCATTTTAATCACTCAATGACACCTTGCTCCTCTGCTTCGTGTGAGTACCCTTTATATAGACTAGAAGATTTGAGCGGATTGTAGTGGATGTTCCACCAAACCAAACCACAGGTCATTTCTCCCCTGAAACCAACATGCAGACGTGCAGGAAGCAGCTAAGTCTTCAGCCGATGCAGCTCAAAGACTACAGAAAGCTGGCAGCAATGCTGATTCGAAGCTTGCAAAGCTCCCTGGCAGCTCACGCCGCAAAGACTTTGATTTGTATTGTACTTAGAATCAGGCTTTCTTCTCTTGACCCATGTGGAGTGTGAGCCATAGCTGAGGTTTGCACATATGAGTACACAGCCAGCAGTAGCTGTGAAACCAGGAAGGGATGAGCTGGACAAGGAGCACACAAACCTCTTGATCCTCTTGTCAGTCACGCTGGATGCAATATTGTTTGCAGGGGGCCAATGTAATTTTGTTTGTATGACTCTTCTGTGATATGAGTCATTTGGACTGTGAGTAAGTAAGTATATTGCATGCATCAGAGCTCAGAACCCATTTGAATCTTCAAGACGTTCCAAGGCTTGCACTGAATTCAGCTGCTTTAATTCATCTCTAGCAACGGTGTAGGCAAGACCTCACAGGACACCAGCCTTGTCACTTTGCCCACGGATCCGGATGAAGTGGAAGCAGCGCGGATGTTTGCTCACCGAGAAGCTGCTGCGAGGTCACAGGCCGACGCCAGGAATTTTCTGACCTTGTGGCACAAATTGCACAGATTGCACAGATCAAGCCTTGCGCTGAAAGCTGAAATTGACATCTGTTTGTGGATTTTGTGGATAGACGAAAATGACGAATGTTTTTGGTCTGTTATTGAGTGTTATACCATGGCAATTTGAGCGTTGCTGCAACAGGACCAGCCAACGGCTTTGGTTCGCCAATCTACCGGGCTGCTGGTTGAGGCTACCACCAGCCTACCCTTCCAGGCTGGTTATGTGCCATCTGTGGATTCTCATGCCTGTGGATTGCCATGGCCCGCCAGGTGGCCATGAGAAGAGACAAAGCCGGAACTCCTTCGCAGGTGATCGCGCGCTACTACCGGAAAGTGCGGAGTATCAAAAGGATGCCCATTATTGACAGTCCTGCTGCGTAGCTGGATGTGTTTCACCGGTGGCATCTTTGACGCCGCTAGCTTCCACCAGAGAAAAATGTGTCGCTGGGCTGTTTTCATGAGCTCTCTCACTCTCCACAAGAGTCAGCGTCTTCCTGCCAAGTCCGCCGCTTCAAGGTTCGCTTTCCAAATTGCTGAGGACCTACTCTGACAGTCGCTTGCAGAAGTGGGTTGCTCTTCAGCGAGAAGTATTCGAGGTGCCCTTGGGGTGGGAGGAGTGAACGTTTTTCAGGGACAACTGCAGCTGTCTTCTTACTATTTCTTACTGCATCTTACTGCTAATTACTGCTAATGAGCCCCCTTGCTCACTCCAGGGATGCAACCGGATGCAACCGGATGCAACTGCTACCTGCTGTTGCAGATGAAATTGCTACCTTGTGGGCCCTTTTGGATGGTGTGTGGTGGTTTTCCTTTTGTCGCCTTCTGATATTGCTCCCCGTTTGTGAGTTTGCAGCATTGTCACACGGACACGCGTGATGCTAGGACCTAGGAGCAATGGTTGTTTGGTGGCGTTTAGGGAGAATGCATGAACCACCACCTGTTGCTTGGTCTTTTTCACAGGGCAGGGAACACTAGAGTAGACTACAGTACTTATATATATATATATAGAGAGACTACTTAAATCAATACATCAACAAATGCATACACAAATCAACAAATAACAAACAAACACACACTGTGGGCACATAATATATATATATATATAATCATTATATAATATATGCATACCGTACATTACATCGCTGCAAATGGATAGCGTATTTTTCCTGACTCGCACGTCAATGCTGAATTTCTGCAAGGCAGCCTTGAAATACACGAAGGACGGGCTGTGTTGCTAGATGTTGCTAGCAGATGCTAGCAGCTCTTATTTTTTGAGAGTCTCTGACAGTCTCTGACACTATATTGTGCCCGCATCAACAGGAATACATAGTGCTGATATACACTCGTCCTTCTGTTTGAAAGCAATGACAGCAGTTCGTTGTAAAGATGCTTCACACATTTGGGGAGAAAGAGATGTTTGTGCTGGGCCTTGCGAGGATGGTGGCAAAATTGTGCAGTCTCCTTATGTTTGTTTCAAAACACGGGCAGATCTGCACACCATGCCCTAAAGAAAAAACAGAGTCAAGTGGTCAAACCGCTCTGAAGCAAAGATTGACGTTTGACTGAAGGTATGCCACATGCAGTGTGCTGGATGAAGAGAATGCTTGGGACCCAATGCCACCGCTTTGAGGGGGTTTGCATTTGGGGACTCCTTGCAATAGCTTCCATACTGAGGCGCAGCAAGTGCGTTTCTTCTGCGAGAAGTTTGGTTTGTACCTAAGTCATCCTCCACTCCATGCAAGGTGCTTAGGGAGACTGGAGTGAATTCAGACTTGGCCGTCTTGAAAGTTTCAACGCTTTTTGCTGGGGAAGTTGTTCAAATCACGCGAGGAACAGGCGATGCAAGACATCCCTGGCATCGAGTTGTAATCTGATCAAAGACAGGGGAAACCCCAAGCATCCTTTGACACATGAGTGCTTCAGATTGCTTCAGCACATCTAATTTGGGCCATGGCAGGCCTCAGAGCAAAGGCATGGATGGTTTCTTCTGTGCCACCATGGAGCGGCGGTAAAAATGTTCTTCCGGTGCTGCAAACGGACCGCACACACTCTAGGCACAGGGCATGAAGCTCATCGGAGTTAGGTCAGAAGTCAGGCAAGTCACATTCTTTGTGGTGGAATTGGACTTAGAGATCGCTAGTTCTCAACTTTGCAGGAAATTCTTGCCATTAGCAAGAAACGCCATCGAAATCCAAGGATTATATTATTTCGCTTCCCACAGTCTGACTGCGTTCGTCCAAGCATGCCAAGAGAAGGTGTGTGTGTGTTTTTTCATTCATTCATTCATTCATTCTTTCTTTCTTTCTTTCATTCTTTCTTTCTTTTCATTTGTTTACGTCGTTGGGTGGTATTACCGTCACGCCCAATGGCCCAAGAGCATGGTTGCAGACGAAAAGACTGGTACTTAATCTTTTTGATAGATTTTGATAGAGGAAGGAACAAGTTCTTACACCCAGAGCGGGGTGCTCAACCTGAAGGTGTATTGAACTGTCATTCTGGTGAAATGCCCGCTGTCCTTCAGTGGCTCCAGCGCTAGTAGTACGCATTCCTTTGCGTGGCGCTAGCAGTCCCTTTGTGGCCTTGTGACTGTCCTCGTGTGCCGTTCTTCCGAGCTGCCTCTCTTGGCTGCTTGGACTGAGCAGACACGTGTGACACGCTCCAAATTCTTGGGGCTCAACAGCACATACGCAACAACATGGTTGGCATGTGTGGAGTCCTGTGAGTCAATGCAAATACAATCCATGAATGAGCGTGATCTACATTGTTGCATAATCCCTTCTTCCTATTACTGAAACTCCCCCAAATTAAAAAATGGGATTGGTGTGGCACTTCCGTTTTTTTTTGGTTGGGCACAATTGGATTCTTAATTGTGGTAATTGAGAATCAATAGGAGAACAGGATCGTGAAACAATGGGTTCAACCCCATTTGAATAAAGATAGATTGTCACCTGGAGGTTTTATATTAGGGTCCCATCTCACAAGTTTCATTTTTATTTTTATTATTAAGGTTTTCATTGAAATATTAGGGGAAAGCTTCGAAATCCAGGTTTTTGGCAATAATCTATCTAGATTTCAAAAAGGGATCTAATCAAATTTGAAATCATTTTTTGATTTTTTATTATTAGGGTTTTTCATTGGAATATTAGGGGCGCCCTAATACAAAACACCCCCTAATAGAAATAGATCAGCGTGCTTACCATTTGGGGGGAGGGGGGGTGTTTTGGTAATAGGGAGAGAGGATTATTTGATGACCCTGTGTAAATGCAAGTGTGGCTGCACGCACTCGAACTGCCTTAGGTGGGTTGTGTCAGCCAGCATGTCAGCGTCACAGAAGAGCGACTTGCCTGAACAGCCTGCACAAATAGTAGAAAGCTGAGCTGCCGTGTGACAAGTGCATATAAGTATGATGGCGTATGGTAGTATATGGTAGGTACATTTCACATTTCCATTCACAGCTAACTTCTTTGTTTCTTATGGTTTCTCTTCCGTGTTTTTGGCAACATGCAAAACATGATCACAAAGATTGCATTCATCAGGGGAGTCTGGATGTAGTTTCATGTTGGCAGGTGATTCGAGTGATTTGCGGGCAGCAACCTGGATGCAAAAGGATTGCTGATGGGCTACATGGCGCTCCGTCATACCTCTTAGAAGTGTTTGAGCGTCATTTCCGTGATTGCTGCGTGGTTCTGTGCCAGGTCCAAAATGCTTTTCAGAACATGAAAGTGGAGCCAACCAAGAGCACTGATGAGTGGCTTGATCTTGGAAACGGTTGAAAGCTGGGCGATTGTGCATGGGTCAAGTTAAGCAGACTTTTACTTGGAATCATTGGATATTAGAAGATCATTTGTGCTTCAGCTCGGAAGTTGTAATCGATTTTCCAGGGCCTCGAAGAAGTCTTACACCTACAACGCTGAGCGCGTGCTTGGAAGCGGCTCCTTTGGAGTCGTGTACCAGGCATGAATGGGATGGTTGGAATGGTTAGAATATGGTTATATAGCAGACGTTAGACTTGTTTTATTATCGAGCTACCCAGGCTTGTAGCTGCCCTTTCCCCTCTTCAGTTCAGGAATTAAGGGGGCAGGCAACACTTGCAGTCCTTGCAATATTTTTGGGTCGTGAGTCTTCGCACCAGTGCAGCCAGTGCGGCCAGGCTGTGGTTGTGGAAACTGGTGAGTCTGTTTGGAGCTCAGTCCACCGCATTTTGGTGTGTGCCTTCGTGTCGCATGTTGGACCACAGCTTGATGCACTCTCTGCGTTCTCAGGTTGCCATCAAAAAGGTTTCCAACTCAGCGTCCGACATAGGATTTTTCGACGAAGCCGGTTGGAAGGTAGATTTCCCCTCGATTAGTGGTAGTTGCTGTCCAATGGCGGAGATCTTCCCATTTGTTTTGTGTTGTTTTTGCTATCTTTACGTGCTACTCGGATTTATATTTATATAGTGACTCGTCTTGGCTTCAGGTTTTTCAAGACAAGCGATACAAGAATCGCGAGTTGCAGATCATGAAGGATTTCACAGAGCCTTGCATTTTGTTGCAGTATGTGTGTAGGCACTGAGCAGATGACAGAGAGCCTGCGGGTATGTGCCTATGACCTGCCAGGAGTTGAAACATCCCAATGTAGTCGAGCTGAAGCATGCCAGCATCCCATTCAGCAGCAAGAGCTGTTGACAATCCATGGATCGTTGATGACTCCGACTCCGATCCGAAATTCACTGCTTACACACGCTACGGGCAATGAAGACGCCCGCACGACAGCAAGGCCTTCTACACCTCCGGTGACAAGCCGGGCGAGACCTACCTCAATGCACCTTTGAAAGATTACGACCACTATCTATCCATCATTTGAGCGTCCAAACATCATTTGAGTTTGTACATGGGCAGAGCGGCAACATAGCATTATATATCATTATATATATATATTATATAATTGCGAAACCAGCCCTCCCATTGCCTCAGGTTGTCATGGAATACTGCTCGGACACGGTGTACCGAGCAACTTGGCAGCCGCTGCCAATGACCGCCATGACCCGTGGCATCTGGGAAAATGCATCATATGCGCAGCTGATAACTTTCCCCCTGAGGTTATGAAGCACTACACCAAAATGAAACAGCCGCCAAGCAGCACCAGTGAAAACGTGGACAATCAAAGAGAATGCATGAGAATGTGGCGAATACGTGAGAATGCATGGGAATGCACGAGAATGGCCTTTCAATTGATTGCTTGCGTTCTCGCTTGCTTAGTTTAATGGAAATGTTGTTGATATGGCTATTTACTATTATTTTCTGAATGTCTCTGTTTTCAAAATGATGTGCAACGTTTATGTTTGGTGTACATACACACACATTTACATCGTATGTATTATAAACGTATACATGTATGCATATTTATGATTTATGTATGTTTATGAAGGTGTATTTGAATTATTTGTAAGATGATTTCGGCAACATTATGAATATCAGATACAATGATATTTTTTTATTGCTTGAACTTTTGATCCCCAGCGATCTTGGGTTTCTGAACTTGTGCCTGCATTCTGGCATTCTGCTATTCTATCACCTTTGTATGCCCCTGTGCCTAGGCCGGTGCCGCACATATTTGTGCAGATTTACTCATATCAAATGGCCCGTGCTTGTGTTTCCTGGTTGCAGCAGTGAAGCGGCCTGGGCCTAGCCGGGCATGGGCACTATGAAATCTATGAAGCTCCGGCCGACACTGAGGCGTATATCCATGCGGTGGGCATTTGCCACAGAGACATCAAGCCTCAGAACCTACTTGTGGAAGGTGCCAAGCTTAGAGCCGTGGCCATATTGAGATCAAAGACATGTTTTGCTTGGAGTCCAACGAATGTTTGTGACAGTGGTGTCCCAGATCTTTTTGGAAGCCTCATCGAGGTCATACGCACGCCTTGAAAATCTGCGACTTCGGCTCTGCCAAGCCGCTGGTCAAGGGTGAGCCGAATGTGGCTTACATTTGCAGCTTGGCGCAGTTTGGCCTGTAAGACGGTATGTCGAAAGTGTGTCTCACACTCTTCTTCAGAATGCCCTCAACAAAGTACAACACGCTCCAGTGGACAAGCTTGGCGATGTGGGATCGGTTTCATGATGATAGATCATCAAGCTCCTGCAAGATCTCATGGAACTTGTCCTCGAGGTTCGCGCTACTACCGGGCACCTGAGCTGATCTTTGGTGCGACCGACTATGGCTTTGTCAGGGCCCCAAGTTGAAAAGCAGCACAGGCTGAATGTGCGCTCCCAAGTTGATGCAGTTTCATCCTGTTTCATCCAGGTGCCCTTGATCGCTAAAACACTCTTAAACTCTAAGGTCATTGACATTTGGTCTATGGCTTGTGTGTCAGTTGAGCCCTCAGAGAAATTCATGGAATATGGCGATGCCGGTGATGCCTGCTGGTCCACAAGCGCTCGGTGCACCAAGGCTGAACTCATTTTGGGACACCCGATTTTCCCAGGAGAAAGCGGGGTGGATCAGCTGGTTGAAATCATCAAGGCCCACACGGCCAGCACGGCCACGCAGCGGCACCACCCACAGTGGTGCTTCATCCACAAGAGAAGCTGGCCAGGTGTTGGGCACCCCCACACGAGAAGAGCTGATGGCCATGAATCCCAACTACACTGAGTCTCTTGGCGCGTAGTGGGTTGTGGCCCGAAAGGTTTGGTGGAGACCACTTTAGCAGGCTTTAGTACTTTAGCTCTAATGGCATATCATTATGCATATTATTAGGCATCCATTAAGTGAACTGGTATTGTACTTATATCAGATGGAGCGCACTATTCTCCTTCCACAGCAATTCTTCAACATTGCTGGAGTTCCCGATTCTTTGCCATTTTTCCAACGCTGATCATTGGCTACCTGCAAGCTAAACTACAAGCGATGTTGAGGCTAAGACGCCTTTTTTCAGACTGATTTCTACTATGTCTGGCTGTGTGCTAGGCATGATGTGTTGTGTGGCTTTAAAATCTTCATGGCTGATGCCTTTTCCTAGTGGCCAGTGTGCCATTGCTAGGCATGATACAAAGTAGGTTTGGATTTAATAACAAAAATTTATGACCCACCCACCTCGTTGTTTGATGCACTGCCCAGGAGGACAGACACCACCATTTCGCAGCATCTTAGGCTCTGTTAAAAGTAGCCCTAGGCCTAAGACCTTTGTGCATCCACAGCAGGTGATTTGAAGGGCAGTTTGTCGTGATAGCTTCTGACTGCTGGTGCGCTCTCTCAAGTCAGAACAATAGGACAATAATTACAGTGTTGCTATGTGTTGCTTGAGCCCGTGTACCGGTGCAATGAGAAGCAAAGCAGATGAAAGTACCAATGCTAGAAATGCTAGAAGAGGGAAGAGGAAGAGTAAGGGAAACGTGAGTCATCAATTGGAGTTCGCAAGAGCTGGCTGTTGTTGAGCTCACTCACTAATTGGCCATGGAGCAGCTGAAAGTTCTTCGTCAAAAGAATGACTTGCTGGTGAAGCTTCATGCGGCACACCCATCATCGGCCCCTGAAGAAAGAAAAATCTTCGTGGACGCCCTCCTGGCGATATCCAAAGTTTTAGGTCCCGACACCTTTCAGCATCTCAAAATCTGCAAAGAGCTGTTGCCTTCGTCCCTTGGCTTCGCTTGTGGGGTGGTTGTGGTGGGACCTCAACGACCGTTTTTTTTAAAGGAAATGTAAAGGCGTCATTATGTTCTTAGACCACTTTGCAATCCATTTGCCTAGTGGGAAAAGTGGAGAATAGTGAATGGTGGAGATCTAGCGATCGTGGCTGTTGCTGGGCCGGGCCTTGCTGCCCAGGTTGGATGACCAGCTGCTGCAGGCTTTGTGTGATGTGGTCCAAGGCCAGTCCCAGGCACAAGCAGAAGCAACGGCAGCAACGGCAGCAACGGATGCACGGCATGGCGTTGCGTCGTGCAGTTCTTGTTGTGTTACCATTGAAGGGGTGGATCTCGCACAGTCGGCGCTGGAGGACTTTATCAACTCCTACTACATCTTTCACAACTTGAACCCAGATAGCACTCATGATGTGTTGAAATACTCACCATTTTTGGGCTTCATGGAGAGCCACATCTATGACTTGGACCAGGCCAACGAGGATTGTTTACACCCCGAGATGGCTGAGATGGCTCATGGTGTGATGAGACATGTCGACGCTGTTGAGGATCCATTTGGGCCACTGAGGCAGGTTTTGGAGGAGAGGACCTGGATGACCCCCGAGCTAGACAGTGAGTTTCAACAAGGGGCTCGTTTCTGGGCACTTGAACGACAGATTTGCAGAGCGTTGGGGTCGAAATCCTCTGTGAAGAGCTTCACCCAAGAGGAGGCTGAAGAAGCGCTCCGCCTGAAATCCTTCGACTATCGGGCTATGAATTTGTTGCTTTACAAGATGAGAGGGGAGAAGCCTTGCAAGGAACATATGGATTTCCTGGCTACTTCGGAGATTTTGGTGGAAATTGGAGATGACCTTGTAGATTACTATGAGGACATGGAGCGAAACTCTTTCAATATTTATCGCTGTTTTGTTGCACTTCATGGTGACTCTGCACAAACTGAGCTTCGACGCTACATTTCGGCAGCCGAAGAGGCCTACGCTGCCGCCTTTTCTGCCCTGCAACGGCTGGATGAGCCACTGGCAGCCAAGTGGCTGCAACGTAATCAGGCATCCAAGAGACACAACTGTGGCAGTGAAAAGCCAGGAGGAGCCACCTGGGAGATTCCGCCAGCTGTGCAGGAGATGCGTTAGGCGAACAAGGCAACAAGGAGTTCTACCAATATGGACAACATGAAGAAGCAGATTTCGACATCTCCACCACATCTCTTGACAACCTCGAAAGCTTCCGTCCCGTTCGCATGTGCTCCAAGGATCTCAAAGGCAGTGTCCCTTTGACAGGACACCAAGGGCTCTTGAATCAGGATCTTATGCAGCCGTGCTGGTGGATCAATGAAGAAACCGCCGCCAGCTGTGGAGTTTCGGATCGGGCCAAATAGTCCGAGGCAAAATGAAGCAAACAATTTAAAAAGGCAGCGTAGGCAGCAATGTATCTAAGCCTTTCTAAGCCATTCTTAGCCTTTCTAAGCCATTCTAAGCACCGTGTGCCGAAGGTTGCCCTTGTGATCCGAGGTTCAAATTTCCACAGATCAAGCCACATCCGTGGCACAAGGCAGGAAGCAGTCAGGGGTGTTCGTTGTGTCTTGTGACTATTTGTATCATTTTGTGACTTGTGCCCTGGCTGATTTGAGAGGTGTTCCGTGCGCGTACTTCTGCTGACGCAGTGGATTACATTTCGAAGCTGCTAGTCTGGGTCCTAGCTTTGCGGTTTATTGTTCCTTGTTATTCTTGTGAATTCTTGTCAGATCAGGTCTGTCTCCTGTGCATGTCACAGGATTACTTCCATTGTCAACAGTCTGATTGCCGTGCTTGGTTGGTGCCAGGTCTATGACCCGAAGCTGCGACCTACCGGTTTGCAGCCGGGGCCCCTGCAAATATTCAGGGGACTTCAGCCACAGCACTTCTCAGCCCTTCTTCTGCAGCCAACACCGTGCGGCAGATTTGCCAAAGTGACCACGGAAAATTCATCATTTGCGTATTCTCTTTCTGTTGACAGCAGATTTTCCTCGGTAAGATTCTTGCGAATTGTTTTAATTTGTAACCCTCAAGCCTTGAAAAGAGACTTTGGCCCAGGTGCTGCACCCATGCGCTGTTTGATGACCTTCGAGATCAAAATACAAAGATCAGCAGTTCTGCCCTTGGAATTGGCCCACCGATTTGCCCATCAGTCATGGGAGTGCAAGGATGTTGCTTTTAGATGTTGCTTCGCCTGCCTCAGGTAATAAACCCCTGCCTGAGCACCTCTTCCACTTCTCGAAGGAGGAGTTGGCTTGGAGCCCAGGTGATGGGATTACACAGAAGCATTGCGAAACAATTCAACTCGCCCAAAATTTAAAAAGTCCTTTCAGACCTTCAAATTTTCTTGGATTCGGAAGCTTCTCTGGGTTGATATTGCTCCTGTTTCAACCAACTACATCCATCTACATCCAACTTATCCATCCACCATATTTCAATCATTTTCAATCCTCTCTCATCTTTCTCCCAGGCCTTGATGGACGCGGAACTGCAACGTAAGCTGATTCCAGCTTGGGCCACGCCCTTGGTTTCGGAGCCGACTGCCTTTGGGACACTGCTCGGGATGCTGGGTGCCTTGAGGTTGCGGCTCAAAAGCCAGCGCAATGAGCTGGTCGCCGAAACCTGGGCTTGCAAGAAACGAGCAGCCAGAAAGATGTGCCATGTATGTAATCATATATAAATTATATAAATATGTATGCGTATGCGTGTGTATGTATATATATATATACATACATGTATACGCTATATGCTCATGATTTGAATCAACATGATACTATGCGTGACGTATGTCCATGTATGCCGTAAACGGACATATCATTAGCAACCGAGCACATACATTCGTGCTTGCATCAGATGTACAAATGTACGTGCATACATATGTACGCGTGCATTTGTATGTATATATATATATGTATATATGTATATATATGGTATTATATACAGACTTTCTTATCCATCCATCCATCCATCACACACTTCTCGATGATGAGCTCCTGGCACCTGGATCAGGATCCGTTCAAAGTCTTTTGTGAATCTGGTCAGATCCAGCTGTGCTGAGGATGTGGCTCTCATGTTGGCCACCAACATGAGCCGTAACACCGTGACACGCTCGACGCATTCGGCCTTGGCCAGACGATATGGCAGATATATGCAGATATGGGTTGTGCAAATGCCATGTGCAGTCCATTTGCAGATGAATGGAAGTAGACGAGATTGACAAGATGAATCTGATTGAATCTGATGAATCAAAAGAACACAAAAACACCGCTACAGCATTATCTACCGTGGATTTGTCCGCACCTCAACTCTGCTTCCTGTGATCGATGTGCCCTCTCTCTGTCTTGATCATGGGCATAAGTCTCGAGTGCAATGTTGTATTCCGTATCCTTCTCTAGACTATTGTGCTTCAAGTTGCATGGAAGAAGTTGATTAGGCAGCCCAGGTTTGTGCACCAACATTCGCTCCAGTGCATTAATTTCATTAGCTGCTTTCATTGCCACGTGTGTGTATAATCAAGGTTTTTTCAAATAAATTCTGTATGATGCCGGTGAGCGCACGTATATGTTGCATTCTCGTCTTCGATCTGGCCTTGGCAATGCTGGAATACTATGAGCTCTCTAGCAGCTCTCCGCTCTCCTTTCACTCCATTTCACCGAGGGGCCCTTTGTCTCTCACAATAGCCAGTGGCTTGCAACTTACCATCAGGATGGGTGAGGATGGTTTCTGGGGCAGGGACCCCTGACATGTGGAACTTGGTCCGGCCATTTGCATCTATGATATATCATGAAATATTCAATATTCTAGAATCATCTCTATATTTGACTCTATTGTTGGATGGACTCTAACAGACAGGCTTTCTCTTGTGCAAGCACTGCCAGCACTGGCTGTTTCACCAAACCGTGCTGCACCATGTGGCTGGCGCTGCGAAACAGCATCACGACCCGTTCAGTGCTTGCGCGGGCACCTGGATAGGGTTTAGCCAGTGAGGCGGCAATCCAACACGTACAGGAGTGGAGAGTTCTGGCAGCGCACAGTGCAATACTAGAAGCATTTTGGACCAAAGCTGGCAAAAAGAAAGAAGGAGAGTAAGGAGAGTTATTCTTTCGTGCCGCAGGAATACTTGCGATACTTGTCAAGATTTGCCAGCACTTGTGGGCTGCCAGAATGCGCGATGCTAGCTCTCTAGACAGTGGGCTCCGCCAGAAAGTTGCAGGTGCCAGGGTAGCGACTGCAGATGGAAGACACGACAAGCAAAAACCATGCACAGCATTTGTAACTTTTTCAATGGCAGGAGCTTTAGGCTGTTTCAAAGGTGCCTCAGAGACCCCAAATGCAGAGTCGGCCTTGTGGCAAGCCACCACACCCGGGCAAGGCAAGATTTGTGGCATCTCCAGACTGTCTCCCTGAATTTTTGTTTGACCAGTGCATTTCAATGGGATGAAGGGAGGCGCAGCAATGCGCGCTGTTTGGCCCAGGGCCCCCGGGTGTTGGTAGCAGTACTCATGCGAAGTGGTCAGTCCATTGGATCCAATTCACTAGGCCCTAGGCACTGGGACCTAGTGGATAGCAACTGAGTCTGAGCCGTGCAGAGTGTCAGCCGCGTTTGCAATTGGGTAGCCTCATGTAGCATCCAAAAATATTCCAAGCTCTGAGAAAAACCCAGGGGACAAACCAACCCTGGTACGGATGCATGATGATACACACGCAGTATTGTTCTACAGGTGCTGAATGTTCCATAGAATGAATGTCCTGCCCGAAAAGGCTCACACTCTTTTGCTGGGAGCCCTGCTCCGCCAATACACGTGTTAACAACGATTGAGATACCTTGGTTTATGAGACATCATAAGACCAATATTGAGGGCAAAGCCTTGCTCGTCACCCCTGTTGGCACAAGGGTTCTTCTATTGTTGCAACATCCTTCTCTGCTTAAACGCTGGTAGTTTAGCAGCCTCAGGGCCTGGGGTAGTTCCCTTTCAGCTCGCTGCGCTTGTCCAAAAGAGAGACCATGATCCAAGAATCCAAGACATGTTTGGAAGATGAATGTGGTCGAAAGTTCCCCCAAGCTCTTATTTGGTGTGTGGAGGCAAGGTGCATACCTCAGCATTATTCTGCCGTCCCATTTTCAATTGGCTCAGGCTCATTGGAATCTTGCCTTTTTTTTGAGGATGTAGCCGTGGCAATGTTCCATGGGAAAGAGCCCAAAGATGATCAGGCTCGGAAGTCATGGGAACCAGTGGATGCAGTGGCAAACACCCGACAATGTTGGCAGGCAAGCACATCTGAGGTTGCATCCCTAAGGGATGCTGTTGCAAAGCTCGAGCGCGGCAGGTGCAAGTGAAGAGTCGCACTTGTTTCATCTTATTTCAATATGTTTCAATATTCTCCCAAATCATCGTGCCTCAAGCCTGGTCTCTTCATGTCTCCGGTGATAGAACGAGGGTCTACGGTCTGCGGGAATGCTGGAGGCAGCGTGCTGAGCAGATGGCCAGAGAGCGAGCTGAACGAGCAGCAGAGATGCAGCAGGAGGCCAATCTTGGTTGCGATCTTCCCCTGAGTCACGAGGTAAACCCATGTACACCCAACACATCCAACACATCCAACACATCCAACACTAAAGCATCCCCAATTGCAGTTGATTCTTGGGTATGCCCATAGTCTGCCCCAGTTTGGGATGATGTACCATCTGGTAAACGTTTACATAACTATGGAAAATCACAATTTTTAAATGGGAAAGTCCACTATAAATGACAATTTTCGATAGCTATGTTAGTTTACCAGAGGGTAAAACATGTAAGATGACAACCATTACTACCCATTTTGGACTCATTTGGTATTGAGCATTGAACCATGCTCACATATGACATGTAGCTGTCCGCGCTTCTGAATTGGATTAGTGACCACGAGTCTTGCTGTGTTGATCGCCCTGTGCTTCGGCCAGATTGCGCGCCTGCAAGCTGAGAATAAACGGCTCGGAGCAAGAGTGCGGGGTACCTTGGCGCAATCATGCTGTTCCCCAGGTCCTCCCTGGAGCAAATCAAGTGCAAAGCAAACCAATCTTTGAAACATAGTCAACATATGTCTAGCTTGTATTTTAATGTATTATAGAGGTAGAGCTGGAGAGACATGGCTCTGTCCATGCCAGTCTGCCAGTCCCAGATATTGACAGCACCAACGGCACTAACAACATCCGGACTGACGCATTTTAAAGGAGCCAAATGTCCTTCCCATGTCTGGACGCAACTATGAAGTCGATATAGTCACTGGACGTCACTTCTGAAGGCAGTCAGAAACCTGGCAGCATCTCACAGCATGCAACGCTCAGGGGAAGCATTTGGTTTGGAACAAGCTGCCCGCAACGGTCACAACGACAGTCTGGTTGACCGCCTTGTTGAAGAGAACAGGTGCGGACAGGTTGAGACATGATCCAAGAGTAGGAGAATCTTGAATTTAATGGGACTGGAAGACTACTACAACAAGATAAGCAAGGTCTCTTGAGGAATACCATATTATTTTACAAGAAAACCTGGTCGTTCACAAGGTTCTTTTCACACCAAGGTCTTTCTTCAAATTTGGCACCACAAGTTGAAGGGTTTTAGGGATTTTAAGGGTCTCCGCAGGTCTCCGCGGTCTCTAGGTTGGTCCAAAGCGTTCTTGAAGCATATTATTGTTATTATTTGATTGTGTAGACATGTAGACATGTAGCGTGCTCACATGTGCTCACCAGCCCCTCAGGCAGCTCCTTGCAGACAAAGAGCGGTTGCTCCTGGAAATCTCCAGACTCGCTCGGGACAACCAACGACTCCTGAAGGTGACCTGACATTGCGCTGTAGCAACATTCAAACACCGGTGGGGTGGTACAGATCATGTACATCTGCAATAGAATAGCTGCGAATAGTTGAAATAATCTGAAATAGCTATACAAATACCCACGCATCCACATGCGTGGCTACTCACTACGTGTCACTTGCAGTTGCCTCATGTTTCTCAGAACTTCTGGCCAGGCTTTGGATTCTAGTTTTTTTCAAACTTTCTTGCTATATTGACATCTTTGTGAGGCACATGAACGAAGAGACCCGGAACTGTGCCTTGGTTGAACTTGGATATATGTATAGACTTATAGACTAGATTGACTCAGATTGACTAGATATTATTTAGATCCTCCGTAAGCTTGCTGTCCTTTGTCACATAACATCGAGCCGTCGAACAGGCATGAAGTGCGCGGGAGTCACTTCAAGATAGAACAGACGGAGGACATGCACATCTTCAAACATTTTTGCGCCTGGAACCGTGCCCAAATTGCCTGGGGCTGAAGTAATGCAATCAAGCAAATTCACCTATGATTCCTATGATCACTCATGACTATTTCATTGACAGATTCAAAGAGAGGCGGAGTTGGAACGTTGTAACATTTTGGCATGGTACTGCGACACAGCCAGTGACTAGCAGCTAGTGGGTGACCGGCAGCATGTGCACGTGAGGACCTTCCCGGAAGTGTGCCACGAGCAGAAGAAATGATGCAAGGGGCAAAGCGTTGCCTGGCAAAATTGTCACCCGGTGGGCTTTGAAATCCAACACGCTGTTTCCATTGTTAGCCGTAAAATGTTGATGTTGGGATACTTCTCAAAACTTTGGAACCTCTCAATAATGCCATCCTGGTTTCACTTCACTGAGGATTTTTGAGGTTCTTCATACATACAATCTAGCAGCTTGAAACCAATTGACAGAGAGAGAGAGAGAGAGCACACAGGGCTGAAGCATGGAGACTAGCCTGTGTATAAATTATAAATGGTTGGGTGATCTTGATGTGGATACCTTTGATATTTGTCTTAGGGGCACTGCATGATAGCTTTGGAGGTGAAGTGCAACTTCACCTCGCTTCGCTCCTTCAGCCCAGTTGGCAACGCCTATATGTATAATATATATACTGTATATATATATTGTTTTGTTGTGGAAGTGCAGGATGAGTAGGCATCCGTTCCACATATTCCATCAATAATTTCAAAGGAACTGCAATGTCACTGGCGGAAGCTGTTGTACACTGAACATGCACCAGCTTGATGCCATTGTGCCTTCTCATTTCTTCCCGAAAGAGAGCACACTTCATTTGCTTTCCTGACTGATTTGCCAAGACAGGCCCGAGTGTCCGGTTTGGTGTTCCGGAGGCTGGCTGCAGAGATGCAGGACACGTTGGAAAGTAAGGTAGACAGTTGCATAGCAGGCACACAAGCTACGGAATGATCTTCAAACAGGGATGAGGGAGCACGGGTGTTTACTTTAGTTCTTAAAAAGACAATGTTCCTTCTGTGTATGCTGAACGTTGCAGGTTGGGAGACCGCTGTCCCCCGTCCTGCAGCTTGGATCTGGAGATCAGTTGAGATGGCTTTCGGATTGTTTCGGATGGTTTATGGATTGTGGTTCTTGAGACTGGCATGGAGAGTGATGGGCTTGCCACTAGATGAAGCTTCAGAGCCAGGTCTGAACATGCGGTGCCGGACAGCTCGCGGCTGGACGAAGCGAGGCATTTGCTTTCGAACATGCGAGGTTCGGCAGCTGGCGATGGGGTAGGGGGGTAGGATGGGTTAGGCATTCAGCAGATGTCTTGTGCAAAGGCGACAGCAGGTTTCCAGCCAGACTTTGTCGCAGCATCCTGGAGGGTTGTTTGCTTTCCTTTGACAAGCGTTTGCAGCCTGGCAAGCACTATTTCACCTGCATTTGCTACTTACTTTACGGCAGGTGCCAGGGAATCCCAGAAGCCTTTGAATCAGAAGGCCGCTGAAGTCCTCAGCTATTGCATTTCTGCTGTTTGACTATTGTTTGACTTGCTTACACCAACGCGCCGCTCTTGGTAGGCTGATGTGAGACAGAGCCTATCCCACATTACTGCGGCATCCCTCGCAGCCGGGGTCAGTACCACAGAACGTGTCAGATCAGTCAAGATTTGAGTTGATCAGTTGTCTTCAAAGCCATGACTGAGGTCACCCATGGTCACGGTCAACATATCGGTCATGCCAATGTTGCAGTCAAAGATAGTTTTGGGAATCTTGTTCGCAAGGAATGGCTCAGACCAACTGACTCTTGCTTACAATGAAGCTTTGGCTTAGGAAAGCTGGATCGGCAAGAACGCACGAGGCATCGTGGGGTGCAGTCAATTCCAATACATACTCCGAGAAGGGGAACATTCAGGGCTTCCTATCGGAAACTTGTGACATGAGATGTCACTGCAGAACTTCACTACTCAGATTTGTTTTGGAGAGGTGTGGCCAGAAACTTCTGGCTCTGAGAGCGCAGGCGTGGGATCAAAAACTGTCATGGCACGGTTGGATATTATGAAATATTATGAATTCTTATCGCATAACAAGCATGTGCAACCATTCTGGATGAGTGCAGCGACATGCTGCAGCGGAGATTCCTCAGGAAGTGCGTACTATTTGAATTTGGAGAGCGGTATTTTTGACAGAGATAGACAAAGCCCTGGTCCCCTGGCAGCAACTGGGGTCTGGAGATGGATGGTGGTTCTTGACAGAGCCAGGCAGTTTCAAAACCCACAAGGCACAATGGAACGTGGAAGCCCTGGCACAGAGACTTGGCATATCCGTAGATGACAAGATGAGATGAGGTGTGAAAGGATGGCATACACAGGAAGTTGTCACCGCTCACCCCGGCAGCCAAGGACAGTTCTGCTTATCCTCCAGCCTGGAGTGAGGGACCAGGCACTCCAAGTGAATCGGATAGGATGCTGGGTGGCACAGGGATGAGCTAAGATATGCTAAGATGTTTGGAAAAAAATGAACAAATGCTTGGACAGTTGGGCATACGATATAGGGATAGATACGGCATACGATGGTGACAAATGGAGCCGTGATGGAGCCGTGATGGAGCCGTGATGGACCTTGGACTGATCATCCAAGGAGTGCTTCAACCGGAGCCCTGTCCCTGTCTCACAAGCGGTGTCGGACGCATCCAGGTCATCAGGAGGCCAGATGGGAGATGTCAGAGATGTCATGAGATGTCGCAGTGTGACGTTCCGATCCAAAATCCACAGGCAGATCGAGGAAGAAAAATGGTGGACCACCCCGTAGAACGCCAAGAGCCCGGTGCAATCCTCAGTTGTCACCTACGGCATGCGCACATGTGCTGTGAGTTTGCAACGGGCATATCATTTCATTGCCCATCCGAAAGTTGAACACATGCAGACACCTGAGGTTCACGGAAAGTTCGAGGTCAGGAAAAAAACAGCAATCAAGAATTTTTCATCGCCAAAGATTCACATGTGTCCCAAAAAGTGTCCTGATCACAGGCCGTGTAGCTACAGAGTCGCTACCACCTGAATACTTTAAGCCACTTGGATCCACACCTCAGCCATGCCACGTTGACCTTGGATGATTCTGGATGATCCTGGCACATTCTGATACCCAGGTCCCGTGGAAAGGGTGCTCGAGATGGTCCGCTGGTGCGCTGCAGTGATGTCACCCTTGATGTCACACTTGGACAAACAGTTTCACTATGTTTCACATTTTGACAGTCTGAACAGTTGAATCGCAATGATAATTCCTTTGCGCTGTTTGAGAAAAATGTAGTTGAGTCATTTGGATTCATTGGGTCATTTGCATGTTTTCACTCAAAACCACACACATAATAATATATATATAGGTGCACACCAGAACACACACACACATTATACATACATACATAATTACATACATACGTACGTACGTACGTACGTACATACACAGACATACATACATACATACATACAGACAGCCAGACAGACAGACAGACATACATACATACATACATACACAGACATACATACATACACAGACATACACAGACATACACAGACATACATACATACACAGACATACATACATACATACATACACAGACATACATACATACATGCATACATAGATACATAGATACATAGATACATAGATACATAGATACATAGATACATAGATACATACATACATACATACATACATACATACACAGACATACATACATACACAGACATACATACATACACAGACATACATACATACACAGACATACATACATACACAGACATACATACATACACAGACATACATACATACACAGACATACATACATACACAGACATACATACATACACAGACATACATACATACACAGACATACATACATACACAGACATACATACATACATACATACATACATACATACATACATACACAGACATACACATACATACACATACATACACATACATACACATACATACACATACATACACATACATACACATACATACACATACATACATACATACACATACATACACATACATACACATACATACACATACATACACATACATACACATACATACACATACATACACATACATACACATACATACACATACATACACATACATACACATACATACACATACATACACATACATACACATACATACACATACATACACATACATACACATACATACACATACATACACATACATACACATACATACACATACATACACATACATACACATACATACACATACATACACATACACACACATACACATACATACACATACATACATACATACATGCATACATACATACATACATACATACATACACACGCATATATATGTATGTATATATATATTTATACATATATATAATCAACCCCGTTATCTTAGAATATCCCTTTTTCCAATTATGCAGTTGAACTCGAACGCAACTCCACTTAGAATATGCCCACATTTCGTGCTCATCTGTTTTCTCCCCATTTGGCCTTTGCTCTGGAAGCCTTTGTACACCTCTATGCAGCCTGTTTCTGTTTTTTTTTCAAGCAGTTTTCACATACTAATTTGATTTTTTATTACTTTGTGTTCTGAAAAGTAGAATTTTTTCTACCGCAAAGGGTCCCCCCCACGAATGGTGGAGATCCATGGGAAATGGTCTAGGTTGGGTAAGTGCAAGGAATAGGGCCCCCTTCATGTATGATTATTATATACGTAATTCCCTTTGGGGAGCAGCAATCCTGGATGTCTGAAGTCCGTAAACTAGTACGTTTCAACAAAAAAACAGCTCCCCCGAAATGATCAATTTCTTTTCATATTGTGTTAAAAAATGAGTTTTTCAAGCTCACCGAAGGGTACCCCCCACGACCGGTGTCGGAGAACTATGAAAAAAACTAGTTTGCAATGAAAACTAATGGAATTAGGTGGCATTCCTTAAAAAAAATGATGAATATTTTCACTGGGGACCTATATTCTATGTATGTAGTTTTGCAAGGAATAGGCCCCCCTTCATGAATAACTATTATATACATTTATATACGTAATTCCCTTTGGGTAGAAGCAATCCTGGATATCTGAAGTTCCTAAACTGGAACGTTTCAACAAAAAAACAGGTCCCCCGAAATGATCAATTTCTTTTTATATTGTGTTAAAAAATGAATTTTTCAAGCTCACCGAAGGGTACCCCCCACGAACGGTGTCGGAGAACTATGAAAAAAATGGTAAAAAACTAGTTTGCAATGAAAACTAATGGAATTATTTGGCATTCCTTCAAAAAATGATGAATATTTTTCACTGGGGACCTATATTCTATGTATGTAGTTTTGCAAGCAATAGGGTCCCCTTCATGTATAATTATTATATACGTAATTCCCTTTGGGTAGCAGCAATCCTGGATATCTGAAGTTCCCAAACTGGAACGTTTCAACAAAAAAACAGGTCCCCCGAAATGATCATTTTTTTTATATATTGAATTTAAAAAATGATTTTTTCAAGCTCACCGAAGGGTACCCCCCACGAACGGTGTCGGAGAACTATGGAAAAAATAGTTTGCAATGAAAACTACTGGAATTAGTTGGTGTTCCCACAAGAATGGTTAACTATTTTCATTGGGGACCAATACTCTATGTATGTAGTTCTGCAAGGAATGGGGTATCTTCCATGTAAAAGTATAAGGGTATATATCAATATATATCATATACGTAATTCCCTTTGGGGAGCAGCAATCCTGGATGTCTGAAGTTCCTAAACTGGAAGGTTTCAACAAAAAAACAGCTCCCCCGAAATGATCAATTTCTTTTCATATTGTATTAAAAAAATGAATTTTTCAAGCTCACCGAAGGGTACCCCCCACGAACGGTGTCGGAGAACTATGAAAAAAACTAGTTTGCAATGAAAACTAATGGAATTAGGTGGCATTCCTTTAAAAAATGATGAATTTTTCACTGGGGACCTATATTCTACGTATGTAGTTTTGCAAGGAATAGGGCCCCCTTCATGAATAACTATTATATACATTTATATACGTAATTCCCTTTGGGTAGAAGCAATCCTGGATGTCTGAAGTTCCTAAACTAGAAGGTTTCAACAAAAAAAACAGCTTCCCCGAAATGATCAATTTCTTTTCATATTGTATTAAAAAAATGAGTTTTTCAAGCTCACCGAAGGGTACCCCCCACGAACGGTGTCGGAGAACTATGAAAAAAATGGTAAAAAACTAGTTTGCAATGAAAACTAATGGAATTAGGTGGCATTCCTTAAAGAAACGATGAATATTTTTCACTGGGGACCTATATTCTATGTATGTAGTTTTGCAAGGAATAGGGTCCCCTTCATGAATAATTATTATATACGTAATTCCCTTTGGGTAGCAGCAATCCTGGATATCTGAAGTTCCCAAACTGGAACGTTTCAACAAAAAAACAGGTCCCCCGAAATGATCTTTTTTTTTAATATATATTGAATTTAAAAAAATGAGTTTTTCAAGCTCACCGAAGGGTATCCCCCACGACCGGTGTCGGGATTTATGGAAATGTGAAGGATTTATGGAGAAAATGAAGAAACGCATATGGAAAAAGTGAAGATTTTGACTGAAAAGGGAAAATAATTTATATGGAAAAGAATCTGTATGGCAAAATATGGTAAACTGAAGAATTTGTATGGAAACGTGCAGAATTGTTATAGGAAAGTGAAAAATTTATATGGAAAAATCATGAATTTGTCTGGAAACATGAAAGAAGTTACATGGAAAAAATATGGAAAAGTGAAGAATTTGTATAGAAATGTGAAGGATTTATTAAGAGAGATATATATATGGAAAAATGATGAATTTGACTGAACAAGTGAAAGAATTTGTATGGCAAAAATATGGAAAAGTGAAGAATTTGTATGGAAACGTGAAGGATTTATAAAGAAAAGTGAAGAACTTCTATGGAAAAATGACGAATTCGTCTGGAAAAGTGAAAGAATTTATATGGCCCAACGATATTCTAAGTATAGGTTTTTTAACGTCAACTGTATTCTAAGTAACTGTTTTCAAGTTCAATTATGGGGATGCCCTGGGAAGCCAAAATTTCAATTCTATATTCTAAGATAACGGGGTAGATTATATATATATACATACATATATACATACATATATACATATATATATGCATATGTATACATACATACACACAGACATACATACATACCATTACATACCATTACATACCATTACATACCATTACATACCATTACATACCATTACATACCATTACATACCATTACATACCATTACATACCATACCATACCATACCATACCATACCATTACATACCATTACATACCATTACATACCATTACATACCATTACATACCATTACATACCATTACATACCATTACATACCATTACATACCCTTACATCCCCTTACATCCCCTTACATCCCCTTACATCCCCTTACATCCCCTTACATCCCCTTACATCCCCTTACATCCCCTTACATACCATTACATACCATTACATACCATTACATACCATTACATACCATTACATACCATTACATACCATTACATACCATTACATACCATTACATACCATTACATACCATTACATACCATTACATACCATTACATACCATTACATACCATTACATACCATTACATACCATTACATACCATTACCAATTACATACCATTACATACCATTACATACCATTACATACCATTACATACCATTACATACCATTACATACCATTACATACCATTACATACCATTACATGCCATTACATGCCATTACATGCCATTACATGCCATTACATACATACATACATACATACATAGATACATACATAGATACATACATACATACATACATACATATATACATATATACACATATCATATATATATGTATATATATATACACACATATATATACATATATATATATACATATATACATATATATACATATGTATATATATATACATATGTATATATACATATATATTACACGTACACATTAAATAAATATATCTATATATGCATTATATGCACATATCATATCATATGTATACTTCGGTGCGATTCCCATTTCCTGATTCAAGGATGCCCTGAGCCTCTTCGCGCCACAGCCAGTGACCCCGCGGCAGCGTCGTCTTTCTACACCGACACTATCAACTCTGGAGCAGGCTGCGTTCCTTTACAAATGGCTCTGTTGTGCGATCCTTTCCAAATGGCTCTGTGGTGCTTTGTTCGCATCCCACTTGGTAGGTTGCGAGGGAGCCCACCCTGCCGCAGGAGAGCACCCTGCCGCAGGAGAGCAACTTGCAGGAAATGTACGGGAGGGTGCTCTACCTGGAGCAAAGGCCACACTAATCCCATACTACTTGGAAATGTTTTGGGAGTTGTGACACTGGATGACATTGTTCCCAAGTCATTTGTTGTGTGAGAATGTTATGAGCTCTCAGGCAATGAACACTCTGTATGTTGGTGTTATCAAAGACCAAGCATACGAGTACGAACCACCTTCATTTCGGCATTCCAGCCAGTTGTGCCATTTGTAGTAGAATCAGTAGAATGTCGAATTTCAAGGAACAACTTTCCAGGTGCATTTCCGTATTGAGTCGTTTTCCCTGAAGCACCATTGAACAGCTCACGGAGCGCATAGGAGATTGACTTCCTACCACTGGTCTGAGGTGAAAATATCATAGAGGCATTTTTTGTGTGGCGCCAAGAAGTGGAAGCTGACCGATGTTGATCAGTGGATGACCCTTGATGCAAGACCTGCTAGCTGCTAGCTGCAATGAAATAGTTCAGCTGAGGTCATAGACATGCATGAAGGTCAGCAAGACACGCCTCCACGACATTCAGTCAGACCGGACAGACCGGAATCTTAGAGGCATTTGGTAGCTTGATGCAGTTTTTTCACTTGCGGTTTGAACAATTGCTCCACAGCCAGCATTTGGGTGCCACTCAGGCAGGAAACAGGAGAAAGACTCGGTTGGCATCGCTGATTCCAGGTCCGTGACTGCATTTTAGTGCATTTTTCACATTGGGCCGTCACAGTTGGGGAAACAAACAGCCTGGGGCACCGTGGCAGGTTTAGAGAAAAGCAGATCACGGACATGTTGGCCAGATGAAATGCAAGGGAGCGAACTGGACCCTTGGAAACTGACTACTGATTGCCTTTTGGACGGAACAGCTCTTTGAGGCAAAGCTTACGAATGCTTGCGACACGCCTTTCTTCTTGCACTAGTCCATTTGATTCCACTAGTAGGATTTGATTTCCGTCTTGCTTCATCTTGCTTCTGGCCAGGCCTCAACGACATGTATTGCGAGTCTTGTGTTGTCTCCTGATGGAACCAACATCCCCTGCACCTCAGGAACAACTCTTGGTGGAACGAGGCTTCTGCCCAGGCCGGTCAACAACTGTGTGCAATGGCAGCCGTCGACATGTTCGAGTTTTTTTTCAAAAGGAAGAGGTAGGTCATGAGACGTGATTTTATGAAAGGTACAAGTAGATATCAGTGTGGCCGTTTTAGCACGAATGGCGTAAATGAGCACCAAGGACGTTGAGCATAGATCACACAAAGCCTTTGTACATTACACGACAGCATGCAGCATACACATGCATATGCATATGCATATGCATATACATATACACGCACACACGCGCGCGCGCGGGTGTGTGTGTAACACACGTGTGTACACACACACACACATATATATACACATACATATGCCCACAAAGTACCAAGATATGAATGCAACACCACGGAGCATGGATGTGTAGCCTCTGCAATGGGACTAGGTGGCTGCCGGCTGCCAGGTCCTACGGACTACCGATTCAACGGCAACGCCTTTGTTTTCTCTCTGCAGGCTACAGCTCTGAATCCGAAGCCGGGCTCCACTGGGATGCCTGATGATGATGATGATGATGATGATGATGATGATGATGATGATGATGATGCTGGTGGTGGTGGTGGTGGTGGCGGCGGTGGTGGTGTGTTGGAGGAGGAGGAGATGGTGGTTCAGCCTGCGAACACGATTGTCCTGAGGAAAGCTCATCCCGATGATCCTGTGCCCTTCTGCATAGCTGGCGCCCCTAGATTTTGCATGTGGCCTGTATGGCAAAATTTGTCCGATCCCGCCTAGAATTCAGCAAGCTCCTGGTGACTGGCCCATGCATTTTGATTGCTTGAATATTCTCAATTTTTCATTTGTAGTTGGGAAATTCCATTTGTAGTTTGGAGGTTGGTTCCAAGTGACCATTTTTTTTGCATGCCACATGTAGCAATCCAAAACATGCAACTTCCATTTTTGCATTATTTCGCTAGTTTCCTCATGATGCAGCAGTCATCACCTCGCTCAGGTGTGCAGTGAAGATATGAAGATGTCTGCCTTGCCCGCAGACCACCGCAAGTTTCTGGGAGAGATGGATGAGGAGGTGGCTTGCAATTAGCATTGCAATTAGCATTGCAATTAGCATTACAATATCTTGCTGTGGGCAGTGTGTAGCCTTGATATGCCCAATCAGATCCAATCAGATCAGATTCCAGAGACTAATGGGTAGAATGATGCACATCTCCGATGTGACAGGAGCAGGAAGTTACCCGACAGGACCAAGAAAGATGCTGTTGAATCTCAACAATGTCTAGTCACCAAGATTACCAAGATACTCTTCAGATCCACTCAGCTGGTAGGATGACTGTGATGACATGATGCAACACATACCAGATGGAGGGGTGCTTTGCTTGGTGGCGAGTCTGCACTTAACTGGCAGCAGTTTTGGACGATTTACCATGATTTACCTATATATTTGCTTCAAGCTTCGAACTGAAACACATTTTAAGATGTTTTGAGTACAATCTCAAGTCTAGTTGGCACTTTTTGAACTGAGTCACTGAGTCACCTTCTTATGAGATGGTCTTGTGTTTTCTTTGGTTCATGCACAAATTCTCAGTGTTTCAATTAGTAATGAAAAACATGCGCCTTCCAGATGCACCAAGACGCACCAAGACGCACCAAGACGCACCAAGACGCACCAAGACGCACCAAGACGCACCAAGACGCACCAAGGTTTCCAAGATTCCCTTCTTTGACTTCAGCTTCACCTTGCTGGATCTCCTCCGTAGGAACCTGGCCAAGGCTCCAGCCATCCTGGAGCGGATCAACAGAGCTGGCATGGCAAAGCTGGCACGTGGAGTGGAGGCGCTGTGCCGACTGGCAGTGATCACATCAAGCAGAAAATACATAGTAAAGACATGTAAAGACATTTAGCTGTAAAGACATGGTAGACACATAATGAAACCATGTAAAAACTTTACTTTGTAAATGCGAGTGTGTGCACCTAGGTCACCCCGAGCTTTTATACTGTGATTTCAGCTGACATTTCACACAAAGCTTCGCATAGGAGACTTGTTAATGACCTTGGCTGCCATATGCTGTGACCAGGTTTCAGATCTTTTGGGCTCGCCCAGAGTTCTAGGTCTGAGGGCGATGACTCAAAGGATGCCCCGGGAGTTCTCCAGCTGCATGGTGGGGTCATGAAGGATGATGGCCTGTGAGAGCCGCCACTATTTGCCACTTTTCCAGATCCGCAGGTTGATGTTCCAATTCCAGTGTTTCATACCCGGCCCCGAACAAAGCCCAGTTGAACTGTTTGAACCTGCCAACAATTTCACCTTGATTCTTGATTCCCTATGCACTTGTGGCGCTGCTGCCAAGGCTCTTGTCCAAGGGATGCGATTGGTCCCAGCTGGGTAACCTCACTCGCCATGAGAGTTCGAGTCCGTTGGCGCATACATTGGCAAGGCGAGTGTAATCTGACCACGACTTGCCATGTTTGCGCCACACTGTCCATGTGACAGGTGGCAAGGCTGGTGGGGCCTCTTGACACTCCTGATGAGATGGGGAGACAGGCTATTGGAGGAGGCCGCCAACCACGCTTCATGCAAAGTCAGGGCTAGTTCTTCTCTATGTGCTGTTTGAATTTCCGCGTTCGATCGTTTGGTTTGTAATCAGATGTCGCTTTGGCCGCTTTGGCCCAAGGTAATATTGAAACTGCTGCCTTGCGTTCTGTTGGAGCAACAGGCCAGAACGGCAAGTTGAAGGGCAGTGTTTCGAGCTTCTCAATCGTGATTTCCATAACCCCATGTGTCTGAATTTGGTGTATTCCAACCCCCAACTATGAACCATTTTGAAACTCAAATGGAGTTGCGCCCATTGCAGGTGGTTCTTTTTGGTGATGCCCAGCGAACCTGTGTGGTCGCCTTTTTGCTAAGGGGCATGTCTGGCACTAAGAGGGCTGAGCGTTTTCCACAGTTTCACTCTGCACTTTCGACTGCAGCGGAACGTTGCAGTGCTTTGGTTTGGTCATTCGTCCCGATTTGTTTGCGACGGTCTGCTAGCTGGAGTTGACACGCTGCCTTCAGGTTGTGGCCGTTCAAGTGGCAACATCTCTTTGTTTGCGCTCCATGGCCACCGGAGGAATTGCAAAACGTGCCTCTGGTGGACGACATCTCAGTTTAAGTTAATTGCTTCGTTTTAACACTTTAGCGGACCTCCTGGAAAGTATTTACAGCCGCTTGCAATTCTTTGGACTTGCTGTCAGGGGTGTCAGCTGACATGCTAATTCAACCCAAGTTTTGTTCCAAGGAAGCTCCGTTTCCATTTATTTTTGCCTTTGGAGAGACAGCTATGCTCCAACACTTCTGGGGCGCTGAGCTCAGCAACGCACCACCACTTGTCCAGGAACTGACTCGTCTTCCAATGTCTTGTAGGTTACCAAAATATGTACGACCTCCCCGAGAATATTGTGGCATGTTTGCTTCGGGATCGATGGGTCTGGCACCTGAGAGTTGCCTTGAATGCTTGGTACTGCTTGGTATTGTTTGGTAATACACTGTAGTACACTGTAGCTCTGGTCTGCTTCCTTCACGAGGTCGTTATCAATGAAAAGTTGAAGACTTCTGGTGGACTGACAGGCCAACTTCTCTCGCATCTGTGCAAACGCCTTTCCCGCATTTGGTTGTCCAAGTTGTATGCTAAGAGGGGCTGTTGGCCTGACAGGCAAGACGTTGAAGTTCCCTCCCTTTGTCCATTCTGAGCTCCGGAGCCAGATCAAAGAGGCTGGTGCCAGAAGGAGCGGCTGCGAACTAAAGGTGCTGAAGCTTCCAAATGCAGGCAAGAAGTGCCCTGCGGAACCAGCACGGATTGCTTGAAATCGTGCAAAAGGCAGGATTCGAAGATTTTGGCTGCCCATGCAAGCTAGTCACTAGTGCACCAGAAAAAAATCATGTGCCATAGACACCACAGCCGGTTATGCGTGATGACTTCACACAGGTGCAAGACGCAATTGAAGCAGCAATGGGAAAGCTTGCCAACATCGTCAACAGATATGCACAAAGCTCCTAGGCCGCACTGATGCTTTATGATGCTTTATGACCTGACATTTGCCAACATCATGAACTGACCGTCCGAGGTCAAGTGGAGGCAGAGGTGTGCGGCTATACTACACTGATGGTGTGTTTAGCATGAGCTTGAATCAATTTGAAATCAATCTGAATCAATTTGAGCCTGGAAGATCTGGCAGTGTGATGCTGATGTTACTGTTACTGATGTTACGCATATGTGGCAGGCAGCCAGATCGAAGGCCAAGGCAGATCGACTTTTTGCACTGTTGGTCTTGGCTATAGGTCGCATGTTACGATGTGTTACGACGTGTTTCAAAATGTCACGAAGAGCAACAGGATGTAGACGATCTCTATGAGAGAAGCTGCCAGCGAGCAGAAAACGAAGAGAGGCAACCTGGATATTTGAGATGGGTGAGCACAGTGCACCATCAGTGCATTAGTTTTATAATTTATAATGTTTTAATAGTTGACACGCACACAACCAGCATTTAAGGTTTCAAACTCTTCCACCATCAACAATGGAGCGTGACACTGCACTATGCGTACATATGTGAAAGATCGTAAAGACAAGAACTTTGGTGAACTTTGTGTTTTGAAAGCGATGTAGAGGTGCAAGACTTTCGATCCAAAGACAAAGCAAGCACCGAAGATGCTAGAGACGTCCAGAGACACTGCAGACGCTGAAGAACGGCTCTATATACGTTTGTACATGAACATACACACGTGTGCAGTGTGCGCATGCACACACCCAGATGAACATTTGACATATGTTCTTTGGTGCTGCTCCAGCAATTTGTTGCTTGCAGCATCAATTGTATCAATTGAGGTTCTTGGCCTGGTTGCACAAAGAGCCAGCCTTTGGCAGTGTGGAGCAGGCCAATGTTTTTCTGCTTTGGTTCTTCTCGACACTGGTACGACCGTGATTGCCAGGCTGCGTTTTACAAAAGCTTCTATCAGACGCAATGCTTCATGCATCGCATGTATGAGGAGCCATTTTCATAGCATTCACTAGCACAAACAATGTGGATGCGTTCAGGTTGATGGATCATAAATGTCAAGAGGCACCCAGATTAAATCCAGTTGTAGCTTGAGACGCATTCCCTCGACACAGGCAGATTTTCTTTCAGTTCTTCTGTTTGGTAGCTATGGATGGAAGCTTATGAGAGAGGCCAAGCAGGCATGGCTTGCAGCATTTGGTTGGAAGGAGATTCATTCTCAAGCAGATGCGTGGGTGCTGCGCAACTGCTGAGATGGCTCAGCGAATGCTATCCGGCGCTCTTAGCTGTACAGCTAGGTTTGCAGATGCTGTACAAGGATGTACATTGCATCTTCCTCCTGGTCCTGACATGTCACAACTCTGCATACTCAATACTTTGTCATGTCCTCCAGTCGCAGTGTAAGTTTCATTAGTTTCATGGCACAGGTGTGCTTGCCTCTGAAGCACGTCACGTACATGTATGGCTTTCTGCAGCAACAACACTCCAAGGATCTTCTTGAAAAGAAGGTCATTGTGTGATTTTGACGTGAATATTGTGGGGGTCATGAAATCTGTCGTTCGCCCCAACAGTTAAAGAATTTCATAGCCTCAGATTATCTCAGTCAGTTAGATACCCTTGACACCTTGTCTTAGAATTTCATGACCCATTGTGAAACAGTTCGGGTGTTTTTTTTCTGGCAGTTGAAGCTGCTTTGGGTAGCATCACTTTTTGGCAATGCAGAGGGGCTGAGGACCCTCGATGCCCCTGCCAGCTGCTTCCGAACTATGCATCAATTAAGTATCCACAGATGGCTGGCGCCTAGGCCATGTGGATGAAAGGTTCATGGAAGTGTCTAAGATTGATCTAGAATCTAAATCTAGATGTACATCTACCATGAATCTCTTGCTATCTCTCTTTGTATCCCTCTGCATCTCTATATATCTCTATATAAATATATCATATCTCTGTATATATTTATATAATATATATTATATATATATAATAATAGATATCTCTAAATATCTCTATGTATCTTTATATGTCTCCATATATATATATCTCTCTCTCTCTCTATGTCTCTGTGTGTGTGTGTCTCTCTCTCGCTCTCTCTCTATATATATGTGTATATGTATATATATATATCTTTAGATCTCTATATATCTCTACATTTCTTGTTCTTAAATATAAATAAATAAATGAATGAATAAACATTATATATACATGTACGCGCACCCATAGATCTGTATATCTATCTATAGATCTCTACATACCGATATGTATGTATTATATATATATCTATGTATCTATATATCCATCGGTGTATCTCTACATCTATCTTTATTTATGTAACATAACATACGGGTATATACACATTTCTGTTATTGAATATTGATACTGTGGATTATTGACTAGCGGCCCAGAAGGTGTTCAACGTGTTTTGTACTTTTGAGAACTTGTCCAAGCTTTACCGCTTGATGTTGATTGGAACCACGAAGTAGCCCACATGGTCCAAGCATCGGCCTGCGCATGGTTTGCATGAAAAGAAAACTCCGTGACTCAATGACGAGCTACTTGTATTTGACATGAGAGAGAGAGAGAGAGAGAGATAGTGAGCACAATGGTGGCAGTTGTATATAGTTGTTCTGTATAACGAACCTTCTTGGTAGGAGACTAATATTCCAACATATTTCTGTGAAACTGCCCTAGATTGACTTTTGACCCTGTGCACCCCCTGTCCATAAATGGGGTGCTATCGGTGGTGTGGTGATTGGGCAGGATGAAACGCCAACGGGCCAGTTGGCTCAAAAGCCAGTCGAGTCAAGGCCCACAAGTTCCCCAACTCCTGCAATGGTGGCCAGACGGCCTGCAGCTGCAGGCATGTTCATCGTACTTGGCATGCTGTGAGATTGAATGGGTATAGGCTCGGGGCATTTTCATCAACATGAATTCTGCTAGCTTGCATCAATAGTTTTTTGTTTAGCTTGGATGATCATCCCCACGCCGGTGAAACGTCTCGCTTCTTGGAGAGCGCATCTGAGATTTGTTGACAGATTGTTGGCGTGAACCTGGTTGCCAAAATCCTGAGAAGGGCTGCACGGCTGTTTGTTTCTGTCAGGTCATGGAAAGAGCTCCGCTACCAAGGGAGTGCAGCGGGCAGTGAAGAGCACGCAGGCAGATGAGGTTCTGCCATAGGGACAAAAGCAACCTTCAGCTAGGCAAGTTTGGTCTCAAAGTTGTTTTTGACTGCGGCAGTGCCTTACTGAAGAAGACGAGTTAAACACATGTATGCAATCTTCAGCTTAGTGATCTTGGATGGCCTTAGTGGGTCTTTTTTCTTGCCCAGTCTGATGCGATCTTTGTCTGTGCTGCTGGTTCTGGTGGGGGCCGGTCCCGTCAAGCACTACTTCATCGTTTTGGACTCTTGGACTTGATATCCAGGGAGCGTTCTTAAAAAGTTACGAATTAAATGTAACACAGTGCTGCACAGGCGGCGGCGGAAGTTTCAAAGATAGGAATCCTATAGGGGAGGTGAGCTGTTGTGATGCATGGATTGCAGAACGAATCCACTGATGGACCGAAAGGTGGTTGAGGCTCTGAGTCTTTTTCCCGCTCCCTCTCTCTATCTCTCTATCTCTCTGTCTCCTTCTCTCTGTCTTCTCTCTGTCTCCTTCTCTCTGTCTCCTTCTCTCTGTCTCCTTCTCTCTGTCTCCTTCTCTCTGTCTTCCCTCTATCTTCTCTCTGTCTCCTTCTCTCTGTGAGTCTCTCTCTCTCTCTCTGTATCTGTTTATTTGCTTATCTGTTTATCTGTTTATCTGTTTATCTGTCTATCTGTTTATCTGTCTGCCTGTCTGTCTGCCTGCCTGCCTGTCTGTCTGTCTGTTTGTCTGTCTGTCTGTCTGTCTGTCTGCTATCACACTGCATCTGCAGATGAAAAGACAAGGTGATGTTGCCTCCTTTGCATGTGTCGTACCACTAGCAGTTTGGTGCTCCATGGTGTTTCTGATTCTTTTGGTATCAGACTTGCTTGACAACAATGATATAGATCACCACGTCGGGCGACAACTTGAAAAGGGCGGTATGAAAAGCCAACTTTGTGCCGGACTAGTTTGCACACTGACTGATAAGTTGGACCAGGACTTGCATAAGGCCTTCTATTTGCATGCAAATGTCAAACAGCTTACCAGTGGAATGCACAAGTTGCATCAAGGAACGGTGAAAGAAGTTCATTTCTCGAGCGCGCCCAATTTGACATCAGTGGCTCGGCTTGCAAGCCACTCACTAGCGCATATTCAATGACAATAAACATTGGTAGAGTAGCTAGCACATGAGCAGACATGAGCAGAATTGTGAAAGACTGCGCGGGCAGATGGAAACTTGCAGTCCAACAGTTTGGTATCACAGGATATCACAATTGCTTTCATTTTTTTAGACATTTTTTTAAACCAATCAGCGATTGCTGTTGGATGTTGTTGCTCTTCTATTGCATTTCCTCCCAGGAAGAGCGCGAAGCACCACATCTCTTGGAGATTGTGAAGGCTGCAAAGGCTGCAGCCAAGCCAAAGAGGCAGAGGATGGCAGAGAGATGATGAGAGTCGGATCCACCATCACCCGAACCCCCCACAAGGCATTCCAATACAAGGCACCTATGATCACCTATGTGTGTGAAGTCAAAGTTCCGAATCTGACAAAATCTGCATGG